CATCTATTTTTACAATATGGGATCGATTAGAGAGAAAATTTGCTATCCATCTAATTGTTAAGCTATCTATTTTTATTTCTTGTAATTTTCTTATAAGTATTTGGTGATCTACCTTATCAAAGGCTTTCTCAAAGTCAAAATATATGACGTCCGTACCTAACTTCCTATCAAGTGAATTATACCAGTCTTGCATAGATGATAAAATTTGAAGTGTACAAGAGCTTTTAGGTAGAAATCCAAATTGCTCTTCAGCAATTAATTTATGTTTATATAGGTGTTCTAAGATGTTATTTGCTATTATGCGCTCAAAAACTCTACAAGTCGGGGATGTTAATGCAATTGGTCTGTAATTTTTTGGGTCGTTTACTGAACCCTTCTTTTTAAATATCGGTAGAATGTGAGCTGTTTTCCATAATTCAGGGACTATTCCTGTTTTGAATGTATTTTCATATAAAATAGAGAGAGGAAGAGCTAAGGGTGTAGCACATTTTTTTAGAAAATATTGATTGATATTCTCAGGACTATGGGATAATTTATTTGGGAGTTTTTTAAGTAGTTTTTCTATTATATAAGGTTCAAAAATGATTTCTTTCTGATATCCATCCTTAGCTTCGAAGCTTGCTTGTATATTGTTTTTACCTCCGCTAACTATTTCTTCAAAAATATTTCTAAATTTATTTGCTTTGTCTTTGTCTAATATTATGGGGTCGCCTTCCTCAGATTCGTTAAGTAGAGGTATACCGGAGAATTTATATCGATTTCTCTTCATTAATTTATGTATTTCCCCTATATGACCAGATCCTATTTTTTTGGATAGATAATTATTTTTATATTTTTCTATTTGCAATTTACATTTAATTTCAAGACTCTTATAATTATCTTTACTAATTTCCCCTAATTTTAGCTTTTTCCAAGCATCAGCTTTTTGTTTGATTATTTCCCTAATTTCTTTAGGATATTTCATAGGTGTTTTTTCACCAAATTTTTTTAATGGGATGAATTTTTGAATTACTTGGGTTATTATGGAATTTAGTATTTCGGCAATTTCAGAGGGATTCTTGTCCTTAAATATATTGTACCAATCATATTGGGCTAAATAACAATTAATTATTTTATAATTTCCTTTCTTAAATAATAGTACCTTTCTTTTTTCTTTAGAGTTTACTTTTTCGATCGGAAAAGTTATCTCAAATACTATCGTTTTGTGGTCACTCAAAACTAAATCATCTATAATTTTGTATTTTTCTATTAATTGCTTATTTTGTAGGATAAGGTCTAGTGTATGGGAATTGTTAAACATGGTTGGTTCTCTTATTATCTGATTTAAATTTAGCTTATTTAAGGTATTGTAGAAATATAAATTCTGATTATCTTTCGGAAGTGTAAACTCTTGCCAATTTATTTTCGGAAAGTTTAAATCCCCTAAAATAATAGTTGAGAGATCATTTTTGTATTTTTCCTTTATTAATCCCCAAAATTTTTTATCATCGACTAATTTTGTATTTGGAGGCCTATATATTAAATGGAATCTAATTCTCTTAAATTCTGAGTAAATATCGAAGGTAAGGAGTTCATGATTGTATGCGGATATTGAAAGTGTCGGAATATTAATAATTTTTATTTCCTTTTTATAAACTACGCCTACGCCCCCGCCTCTTTTTTTAAATCTATCTACTCTCAAAAAGTCGTAACTATCAGAAGTGAGAAGGGATTCGTTCGATGTATTATCAGTTAGCCATGTCTCACTCAAAAAAGCTACATGAATATTATTTTTAATTAAATAATTTTCTAACTCAAATAATTTATTTGCGGTTTTTTCTGAATTAATGGAGCGTATATTTAAGAGTAAGCAATTTAATTTTTCAAATTTTTTCTTATTTTTCTGATTGATTATCTGTGGGGTCCCTATATCCTAGTCCATGTTCACTTGCTTTTTATAAAAAATTTTAAGATTACGATAACTAGCCGTGCCATTTCCATGCTTCTCGTTAATTTCTTTGACTTGCTGTTTAAGATAATTTTGAAGTTGTAGTTCCGGTGGAGTTAGGTCCCTTCTTGCGAAAGGGCTATGTCCACCCAATTTCGGTTGATGTATTGTTCTATAGAGACTGATAAACGAGTGTGCAGCTGATGGGGTTGAAAATTTTACTTTAATAATGCGGTGGTAGTTGTTCTGTTTTTTGATGCCATGTCTTTTTACTTCGAAATTTTTGGTATCTTTAAAGTTTTTGTTGTTTACTACTACTTGGACATTTCTTTCTATAGCTTTTATGTCTTCTTCTTCGTTTTCCATTTCTGGAAATCTTTCAATGACCGCATAATAGCTCTTCTTTTCGTAAAGCTCTTTTAATTTTTCATCAAATTTTGGTTGTTGAAGCAGTTCAATTGTGGATGCTGCTTGTCTTATTTTTGGCGGCATTAAATTAGGGGGACAACCCCATCGAGATGTTGTTTGCTGTGGTTCGGATGGCAGTTGTTTTTTGCTAAAGTTTTGTTGAAATTGTTCGAATAATGTTTTAATTGTAGTCTCAATTATTGGTGTTAACAGTTGGACAACATTACGAGAAATTTGTTCAAGTTGTTCGGTTGATAGAAGCGGTGCTTTATCACTTTCACTATCGATAATCGATGAACAGGGTCTTTTTGCGTTTCCCATAAGGATTATTATTTTTGAATATTTTGAGAGGAATGAAAATATTTATTTTTAATTAGGAAGGATAATTTTTGAGGCAGGGAAATTATTGTTTCAATCCTTCAATAAAGAGGGTAATAAAATAAAACTGATTTTAAAAAGCTAAAGACTGCGGGGCTATACTGGACACACTCCGGTTATATAAGCTTATAAAATATTAGAAATAAATATTTACGTTTAATTTCATAAATACAAAATTTGTTGGCAAAATTTGATATATTCAATTCGAAAAATTCCCTCCTAAGCAGTTTTTCAATGGCTATGTAAAACGTATTTCATTTTAATTTTTGCCTTTTTCGTTTGAAATTTGGCTAAACAAATAAATTTTCTAAATAAAATTTGAACGAGATCTCCAAAGACAGGCAAATTTTGTTGATGGGATAATATATCGTTTGGTACAAAAAACGAACTATCGTGGCTAGAAAGCTTTATTCAAAAACAAAATTTCTTTTCAATTACAAAAATAAAAATTAAAAACGGCTAATTAAACAAAAATGGAACGAAAATTAATTTTTATTAACGCCAATCTAAATATGGTTGGAACGCTTATGGATCGTGGCTGGATCGTGTTAACGCTCTAAAATCATATGTGGAAAATGAAGGAAAAAAATTATTATTGTATTGATTTTAGACGTAAAAAATTTTGGCTCTGATGTTAGGGAAGGTTGAATTTTTTTAGAATTCTTTAAAATGTAAGCTAATAAGGAAGTAAAGTCAAATAGGAGTGGAGTGCTATTTTCAAAATTATCTTGACTAACGTGCATTAGCCCTTGTTTTATAAAAAATTGAAGTCAATCAAATATTTGAATTAATTTTTTCAAATAATTTGTATTCAAAATTTGATTGGCTGATTTTGGCACAAATCAGATAATTGAATTTTTTGTTTTTCCAATCTTTATTTGTAAATATCTTTCTTTGGATTGGCTTATCAACTTTTATTTTGATTTGTTTTCTCTCTACCTGTATTTTGAAATTTCTACTCATACAGTCAACTCTTTGCCTAAACTAAAATTAATTGTCATCAAAGCATTTTAGCCCAACCAGTGGGTAACGAAATTGAAAAAAACGTCAGAATTCCCCCCTCATTCAATTGGAAAACTCAATAAGAAAACGGCTAATTAAACAATAAAATTTAAAACGAAAATTAATTTTTATTAACGTTAATCCACAATTGGTTTATTTGGAACATAAAATGGATTTTTAAAAAAAAAATAAAAAATATTGACTTTGATAAAATAATTTGGAATTTTAATATATTTTTCTAATTACTTCAACTTTTTTTATTTCTTCTTATTTTCCAACTTTATTTATAACTTCCATAAGTTGTGGTATTTTCTATTTATGTCCAGTGCGATCGAACTGGCCATAGTAACCGATCAAGAATCTCCCTGGAGATCGACTCTCTCTTTGATTGAACATATTGATAAGATTTATGTTTGTTTCATTGTTGGAACAATTCCACTATGTTAAAAAACTTCCCCGTCCTTGGAATACACAGTATAAATAATTATGAAATTAAAAAAAATTTCGATTTTTGGGTAATTCGTCATTTTGGGTGTCAATATTTAGGGTGGCGATATTCTAGAGTGGAGTCTATTTTTTATTAGTAAAATTTTGAGATTAAATATTTAAAAAATTCTAATTCATATTTTAAAATAAATAAATCTATGTTGTTATCTATTATATACCTATTTATTTATTCTTCGTCAATACTATTTTTTATTTTCTCAATTTTTACCAAAACATTCCTTGGTTTCAACACCTCCTTTCCCAGCAGTTCAATCTGTAGAAAATTAAATTATTTTTTATGAACGTTTATTTTTACTTCGGATGCATTCTCATAGATTATTCTAAATTTTAATATTATAGATGTTAATGCCTTCTTTAAAATATGCTTAGCCAATGGGATTCCAACACATCGTCTTGGACCAAAACCAAACGGTAGTAAGGCAAGAAACGAAGATGCCGAATATGGTGAAATAAACCATCTTTAAAAAATTAATTTTAAATTATTAAATTTCTAATTAACATTTTATATAAAATTTTAATATGTAGTATTTAATTTCGACTATTCATTGAATGTAAGATGTCATCGGATAGAATAAGAACAACAAAAACGGCCTTTAATTTATTATTATGCAAAATGCTTTTAGTTATGGCTGAAGACCGAAACTGAATCCCGATCACTTTTGGCCAGCCCCGTATGTCTTACCCACGTAAAACCTGACCCGGAAAGTTTCAATTTTTATAAAAATTTTAATTATACTTTATTTAATAACTTTAAAATTATGTATTTTTAAATATTTTTCTACCTCTCTGGTTTGAATTCATTCGCATCTTTTCCCCAAAATTCCTCATCTCTTGCCATTGAAAATATATCTGCTTCTATTATATCCCCAGGATTCAAACAAATCTCTCCATTTTTTGTCAAATATTTAATGGTACATTTTCGGGTATTTGCACTTTAAATTAAATGTAAATAATTTAAATTAAAAAATTTTTTATTTCAAGGAATTTTTGTAAATAGATAATTCTTATTAGATAATTTAAAATTAAAAAAACATACAAGGCAACTATAGGACATAATCTAAGCGTTTCATTAATAACTCCATCTATCAATTCTTTTTCTGATGAAGTATTTAAAGATAAATTATTATCCTCGTTTTGTAAATTAATTCGAAGGTTCTCTTGTATCTGAGGATAAGCAGCCATGAAATGGGCAATACATGAAAGAGCAAAGCTAATTGTTTGGAGGCTTAATTATTAAATTTATTTTATTTGGAGTTACCTTTAGTTAAGCCTAAATTCAACTTTCGAGAGTTGAATCGTTAAATAAAATTTTTGGATACGTGTCACTAGGACCCCAGCCTATTAGGACACAGCGCAATTATGGTCGAGAAAAGTTCATAATTTTCTCGGACAGAGAAAAAATCTAACATTTATATGAAAAAACTAATTTTTAATAGCTTACCCGGCTGCCTTAACACTATTATTAAGCAAAAGATTTCCCAGAATTACTTCCAAACGAGTTGTAGAATTATTTGACGAACTTAATTATTTAAATATTTTTATTTTTCTATATACTATATTCTTTCTCATAATTATAATCGTGATACCTTTCATCATTTAGTAATATAGTATCCTGTTTGTCCATCAAGATTTGCTTATACAAAACTTTAAATAATCCAAATTGTTTTTGTTTTCGCTCATTTTCTTTATATTGTTCTTTTTTAATAATCAATTCTTTTGCAAGATTTACATATTTTTGTGGAAATTTAATTAAATTAATATTAGGAAATACAATTGAAAACGCAATCCTTGAGATCATAGCAGCAAAAAATAAATCGGCATAACTAAAAAATGGAATTTAAAAAACATAAAAAATATTTTAGATAAAAAATATATTGTATATTTTTTTCTTAAAATAAACCACATAGCGTTTTATTTTCATCTAAATATGCTTTAGTTTTTTATAATTCATTAATTAAAATTAATTTTGAAACAATTATTTATATTAAAAATAACAAACTCGCAAAAATCAACAATTCTACATTTTTTAGCTCCAATTTTCATTTCATTTAAAACATCCATTATTGAATCTTCAATAAGTTTGTTCATCTAAAAAATTAAAAATATACATAAATTTTTACAAACCGAACAAATATTTTTGTTTGTAAAAATCGAAGCACTTTTACGAAGATTAACCCATCGTTCACCGTTAGCCAAAAATAAATGTGCCACATCGGGGCGAACATAATTAACTGACTGGAAACAAATAAATTTATGAAAATATTTATATTTAAAATTATTATAAATAAATAAGTTTAAGTTAAAGTAGCAACTCTTCGGGGGCCGAGTGGGGGTTTCTCAAAAACACTAGTTTAAGTAATCCTTCACATATATCGTATACATATTGGTATGTACTTTATATCTTAAGTTTGATATATTTTATTATATGATAAAATTAGAGTTTCTAACCAATATATTTATTAAATGCTAAATTAATTTTAAAATTTATATAAAAATTATTTTAAATAATACGTTTCGTTCAGAAAAATTCTCGAATTGTTTTGTACTAAAAAGTTCCTCCAGTAAATTTGGATCGCTACAAATATAAATCTTTCTCAATTTCATTCCTGGCCCAATTTCAATTGTTAGAAAAAGTCTTCCAAATTTTTTAGTTAATTTCATTAAATGAATATATCTGGGCATATTGCTTCTAGTTGTTGTAAAAAGTCGATCAAAATTAAACTTTATTTGCCATAGGAAATGAAAACTAAAAATTAATATTTTTTAAAAAATTTATTGTAAAATTTAAATATTGACTTTGGTTATGAATTTTTGTTTGGATTACTTTATGATAGAATATTCTGAATTTATTTGGCATAATTTAGTGCAAAGTCACTACTATGGAGACTCTGCTGTATTTTAAAAAGCTGAAGACGGAAGGCAAAATCCTGATTTTTTAAAATGTTGCACTAATTTATTATAAATTTTTATTTTAATCATTGAAGGATAAATTTTAATTTAATTTACAATTTTACAAATAAATATAATTTTTTAATTATAAAAACAAATAAACCCTACTTTAATTTGTAAAAAGTCAAGATAATTAAAATAATAATTATTAATATTGCTAGAACGCCCATTTTATATATGTATCTGCTTTAAAATATTTTTTTAAAACAATAAAGTTTAAAATATTCATTAATAAATCAAATATTTACAAAAAAAATGATAAAATTGCATAATTAAGTAAAAATAAAAATATTTTTCTTTAAATTTTTTTACTTTGCCAGATGTATTCGTTTACAAAAATCCAAAACAATTTTGTTTTTTTTTCTTTGTTATTTTTTAACTAATTATAATGTAAATTTAATTTATTTTTAGTTTGTTACAAAATTTTTATTTAAATGAAAAGGCAAAAGGTTATAAGAATTAATTTAAAATTAAAAAAATTTTGTCAAATGATTTGAGAAAATATTTTAAGAAAAATTATAATCTAATTTTTTGCAAATTTTTAAATAAAACATTTAAATGACTCAATATCTGGGAACAAAATTAATATTTTAAAGTTTTGTCATATCAAATAATTTATTTTGCAAATTATATAAATATTTGCAATGACAATTAGATCATTTTTTGACGTCATATTTTGAAGAAATAAATTGGAGCATTTAAAAATACTTTTGGAATAAAATTTAACGAGCTTTATTTAAATCAGAAATCCTCTTTAATAAATTACCTAAGTTCATTTTTTAATAAAATTTTATTTGCCAATTTTAAACTATTTTCCTATTTAAAATTATTTTAAATTAAAATTATTATTTAAAAATTTTCTTTCACTTCAAAATTATTCATATTTTTTTCTTAATTTTTCCTAAATTACCTATTTTATTATTAAAATTTCCAAATAAAATATTCTAATATTTTTTAATACTTTTATTAAATATATATTTTTAGCAAATTATCTTTTAAATCAAAAATTAATCTTTTCATTATTAAATAAATATTTAAACTATAATTCCTAAAATGCTTACAAAGTTGCAATTTTTGGAAATTTTTGAAGGGCTTCATTTGTCAAAAATGGAAATAATTTTTAAAAATCAAATAAAAATAGTTTAGTTTTTGTTTTTTGGCTTCTTTTTTTTGTTTTAATTATTTTTTTATCTATTTATTTAAATAAAACAAAAATTATTTTTAAAAATTATTTACTCCAAAAATTATGTTAAATAAATTTAAATATTTTTCATTAAATTTAATTTATTTATTTTTAATCCAAATAAATTTAATTAAATGTCAAAACCAAACAGAACAAATAAATAATCAGACAAATTCCCTCAATCTTTTACCTTTACAATTAAAAATTGGTTTACTATTTGCTAATTCAACATCAGCTTTACGTTTATTATTTGGATTTGCTCAGTCTGCTCCAGCAATTAATTTAGCAATTAAAAGGGCTCGAAATGAGAGTTTAATTGATAATATTAATTTTACGTAAAACTTTTAAATTTTTGGGTTTACAAAAATATGATTTTCAAGATTTACATGGCTAAATTGTGATTGTGACACGTCTTTGGCTGCTGGATATACAAATAAATTATTTCTTGATGAAAATGTGGATGCTATTATTGGTCCCCCATGTGTTACAGGTATTGAATAGAAAAATAATCAAAAAATGTTTTTTTCCTAAACTCTATTTTTGTATTAAATTTATTTTTTAGAAGGCTTTAACAGTTCCATAAATTAAAAATAATAAAGAATTCCTCAAACTAAACAACCTAAACTGCCAAAATTTATCATAGGATCAAGAGACTTATTAAAATAATGATTTTTATAAAAAATGACTGAACTTCCGATTTTTAAGCTTGCAAAAAATCGATCAATCTATTAACTTTACATAGTAATTTCCCTTGTTTAGCTGCACTTGTCGCCGGATATGATGCTTCATTTTATAATTTTCCAATGTTTTTGTGGGGTGCTACTGTTGCAGCGGACCTTTTCGACCAAAATGTTTATCCAACTGTCACAAATATAAATTCAAACACAAAAATGTTTTTAAACCCCAAAAATAAAAATAAATATTTAAAATAAATTAAGGCTTGCAATGGCTGTCCAATCGGTTATTTGGGAATTTCAATGGAAAGAAATATCCTTAATTTATATTCAAGACGATGCTAGAAGGTTAATAATTAATTAAATTTAATTAATTATTTTTTAAAGAGCTTGTGGCTATTTTCAAAAAGATTTTGAGGATATAATTAATCCTAGTTCAAATATAACAATTGTTTTTAAAATGGAAATATACCCAAAAATGGAAAGTATTAAAGATGCAATTAAGGAATTAAAAAATAGATCGAGAAGTAAATTTAAATTAAAATCTAAATTAAAATTTATTTAATAAATTAATTAGTTATTCTTACTTGTTTTGACAATAATTTTGATAGAAGAAATTTTCTTTTAGCAGCAGCAGATATGGGTTTAGTTGAAAATAATGATTATATTTTGATTATTCCACTACTTAGAAATCAAGGAATGCTACAAATGGGTAAAATTATAAAAAAAATTGATAATTCTTTATTTGATTCAAAACACAGAAAATTTTAGTTATACAATAATACAGATATGAATTACTAAGAATATTAAAATTTTGTATCTCATAAATAATTATGTATCTTTTAATTTTAAGTTTCTATTGGAAGAAATGGATCTAAATATGATGGTTTTTGGAAAGATACTAACTCAACAAATGATGGACGTGATGCTGATGCTTTAAAAGTTGCTAGACGTTCAATTATTGTTTGTAAATATTTTATACCTCCTTGGAGTGTATTTGAAAATAGAGCCAATTCTTATTAAAGCCCTGTCCTAAAAATAACAATTAATAGTTAATAAATAATTCACCATTAGGTTCTATTATATAAAATATATTATTTAACCTCTGAAATTTTTTAAATTCTTTATATCATTATTAACATTTATTTTTCAAAAATTATTTAAAAATCTAGATTGACTTGGAGAATAGATCAAATGCACAGATTGATTCATTTATGAGTAAAATGTATGCAGAATTTGGTCAACCTCCATTTAATTGCAGTGATTCTTGTATGGGAGGGCCTGAGGATCAAAATGTTTGTAATATTGCTTGAAAATTTATTAGAAATTTAAAAACAATTTTTAAAGCCTTCTTCTTTTTCTCGAAGTTTACATGATGCTACTTATGCCTATTTACGTGCTTTAAATAATACAATGGAAAAATTTGGTTATGTGACAAAGGAAATGGCAAGAAATGGAACTTTAATTACAAATATGAGCCGTGGGGAATTTCAAGGTAATTTATTAAATTTTTATTTATTTTTAAAAATATAAAATTTATTTAAAAAATTATTATTTGTTTTATTAAACTTAAAAAATTTAGGAGAAACAGGAAATGTTATATTTGATCAACAAGGTAATCGACAACCGATATTTTATGTAACAATGCTCGATGCTTCTGATCAACCACAAGTTGTTATTGAAATTAATTTTGTTCCAAATAATACTGTAAGTATTATTTATAATTTCAAACAGATTATATACCTTCTTGATTATATAATCAAGAAGATTTTGGAGCTTTAAATTAGTGCAAGAAAATAAGGACCAAAAAGTGATAGATAGATCACATAAATGTATCCTGGGCACAAAAATCAGAAACTTTCCACCCTAAGCTCTATATAAAACCGCAGTCTTGAAATGCCCAGAGTCGGATCCCAAAATTTAAAAATACTCTTTTGTCAGTATCTTTACTCGTTTCAATCCTGTATATCATTATCCTTACGCTTTCCCAAAAAATCATTATCATTATCCTTTACGCTTTCCCAAAAAATTAATTTAAAAAATAATTGTCATAATTTATTAGAACTTAACAAAACGTTACACCGATGAATCAACAATTTGGGTTAACAGCAATGGGAAACGTCCATTATATAAACCAATTTGTGGATATACAGGAACAGATTGCCCTCCAGATATGACTACTTATATTATTATTGCAATTGGTTTGGTTGTATTAATTGTGTTTAGTTTTACTTTTGGAATCGGTTATGCTATTAGGGAGAAAAAGAAAGAAAAGCGAAGATTAACAAAAGAATGTATTATTCCATTTATTGAATTGAGAAATTTAAAAGAAATTAAAAATAATGATGGAAGTAATATAGAAATTAATAAAAGTTTGAGAAGTATTCAAAGCAATAGTAATTTATCTACAAACACAAAATTAACAGCAAATATTGAAAGTAAAAAATTGGAAACGGAAAATTATTCCCATTTTTTGTATAATAGAGAAGTTGTTTTTGGAATTAAATATCAAGTTAGAGTTAGAATATTTAATGTAGATTTAACACAATTAAGAAAGGTGTAAATATATATTAGAGATTTAAATAAAAATAAATTTAAAGATAAAACAATTAGATCATGATAATTTAAATAAATTTTGTGGGGTTTGTACAGATGCACCTATTTTGTATGGAATTTGGAAATATTGTCAGAGAGGGAGTTTAAAGGATTTAATTGCCAAAGAGCAATATGTCGGTGATTCTTTTGTGATGTTTACTTTAATGAGGGATATAGCTAGTGGATTAATAGCTTTACACGGGTCATTTGTTGGAGCACATGGAATGCTTTCCTCGGAGAATTGTTTAATTAATGATCGTTGGCAAGTAAAGATTAGCGATTTTGGATTGAATATGATTAGAGAAAGTCAACCAATGTCAAAAAGAAGTAAAAAAGAATATAATTTTATAAATCTCGATTATTTTTTAAGAATTATTGTGGACAGCACCAGAATTATTAAGAGAAAATAATCGAAAAGGAACAAAAGAAGGAGATGTTTATAGTTTTGCTATAATTTGTTGTGAATTAGTTAATAGAGAAACTGTTTGGAATGGAGTTGAAAGAGAAGATGATGTTGATGGTTTGTTTTAAAAGTTATATTTGCACTATACTATTTTGCAACCTTTCCTTAATTTAATCCTGAAAAGTCATTTGGTATATGTTAATAAATCGAGACCGATAATAAATCATAAACTCATATCATTCGACAGTAAAAAGAATATAATAAATCTAAGGCGAAATTCTAATGCCTTCGAATAGTACACAAACGCCGGAAAAATTTTTCTCAAACCCTATTTACTCAATGAGTTTTGTGTCATCCAACACAGGTCTTTGTCTTTTAAATGAGATAATATATGACATTTTGCACAAATTTTGGGAATTTGTAAAAATGGAAAGTACCGGATATTTTATAAAAGCATAACTTTAAAGATATTCTACATCGTCTAAAGCAAATAAATACATCAATCCCACCAAGGCCCTTATTACGTAACAATGAAAATATCAATCAAAATTTGGTAAATACTAAATAATTTATTATTTTATGTATGTATTATTTTCGATTTAGTTACATTTAATAAGGGATTGTTGGAATGAAAGGAATATTGAAAGGCCAAAAATGATTCAAGTTCGTTCAATGTTAAAACAAATGGTTAGAGATGGAAATCAAAATTTAATGGATTATGTTTTTGGAATGTTAGAGCAATATGCAAGTTCTTTAGAACAAGAAGTTGAAGAAAGAACTAGAGAATTAGTTGAAGAAAAAAGAAAAAGTGATATTCTTTTATATAGAATGCTTCCAAAACAAGTTGCAGAAAAATTAAAATTGGGGGAATTTGTTGAACCAGAACAATTTAGTGCAGCAACAATATTCTTTTCTGATGTTGTTTCATTTACAACATTAGCTAGTAAATGTTCTCCTTTACAGGTGTTGTTGAAGATTCTCTGTTTAAAATAGAAATTTAAATAATTCAACAATTTAAGGTTGTAAATTTGTTAAACATGCTTTATACAACATTTGATGGAATAATTGACACCCATGATGTTTATAAAGTTGAAACAATTGGAGATGGTTATTTAGTTTGTTCTGGAATTCCTCGTCGAAATGGAAATGATCATGCAAAGGCAATTGCTGAATTATCTTTTGCTTTTCTTCGATCTGTTTCGAATTTTAAAGTTGACCATTTGCCAAATGAACGTGTTAATTTACGTATTGGAATACATACTGGTCTGTTAATTGCCTCATCGTTTACTCTCATAAGAATATTTAAGGACCAGCAGTAGCTGGAGTTGTTGGATTGACAATGCCTCGTTATTGTTTATTTGGAGACACTGTAAATACTGCTAGTAGAATGGAATCTAACGGAAGACGTAATTTTATTATTTTCAAGCTTAAATTAAAAAAAAATATTTTTAGCTAGTAAAATTCATATTTCTTCCGAAACAAATAAATATTTAACAAATATAATTGGTGGCTATCTAACTGAGCCTAGAGGCGAAATAATTATTAAAGGAAAGGGTGTTATGGAAACATTTTGGCTCATTGGACATTCTAATGACCTTGACATTAACAATAATAATTCATTTACGTGGAATGAACTTCCTACTATTAATGAAGATTTATTAAATAATGAAGAAGAATAATCCTTAATATTTAATTTTTAATGATCTCTATATTCTTTTATTTTTTTAATAATCTCAATTCTTATTTGTATTTTTGATTTTATAATTAATTTAAAATATTAATAGAAACTCGATTATGCATTGCACTTGATAGTATATAATTACGGGCAAATAAGATAAATATCTGTAAAATCGAAAAATCATATTGGCCAAGCAGTAATGCTTGTTTATTTAAGTTGTCGTGCCACAAATGTGTGTGGAACCGAACCAAAAAACAACTCAGTATATTATATGTAGATAAATCGAGAAAATGTTATCAGAAAAATAATACACATACATTTATAATTAATATTTATTCACAGATTTTTATTACAAATTTCAAAATATGTATTTGTTTAAATCGGTTCTGGAGTCTCGACAATATCGCTTCGCAACCCTCCAAATGCTATATTCGAATCCCCAGAATGTCCAAGTAGCCAAAATGTTTCCATAACTCCTTTTCCTTTAATAATTACTTCTCCTCTAGGTTCTGTTACATATCCTCCAATTATGTTAGTTAAATAATGATTAGTTGTGGTTGATATATGGATACGTCCAGCTGTTGAGAGAAAAAAGAATAATTTATGAAAATTAAATTTATTTTTTTACGTCTTCCATTAGATTCCATTCTACTAGCTGTATTTACAGTGTCTCCAAATAAACAATAACGAGGCATTGTCAATCCAACAACTCCAGCTACTGCTGGTCCTTAAATATTTTTTAAAGAAATTAACAATTCATTTATTAACCAGTATGTATTCCAATACGTAAATTAACACGTTCATTTGGCAAATGGTCAACTCTAAATGTTGAAACGGTACGTAGGAAAGCAAATGCAAGTTCAGAAATTTCCTTAGCATGGTCATTCCCATTTTTCCGAGGAATTCCGGAACAAACTAAATAACCATCTCCAATTGTTTCAACTTTATAAACATCATGCGTGTCAATAATCCCATCAAATGCTGTGTATAATCCATTTAACAGATTTACTACCTAAATGTTTCGATATAAGCTATAAATTATTAATTTATTTTATTGCTACTAAATTATATACACTGCTCCACATAATTATAAGTCCACCCCTTTTTTCGGGATTTTTTGACTTCCAGTGATACAAATTTTCTGAAAATTTAGAAACACACCTTTTAGTGAATAACTAACAAGATGTGAATCGATTTTTGGCCGATTTTTTATTTAAAAAATTTTTAGGCCAAAATTTGCATTTTCGGCCTCCACAAAATTATAAGTCCACTTTTCAAAAAAGATATTTCCAAGTTTAGGAAAAATCTACAAAAATTCTAGCAAAGATACATAATGATATTATGAAAAAATAAAAAAGAACTAGACCCATATCTTTTCCTGGAACCGAGATCCTGAGACCTCAAAAATCAACGTAAAACGGGGGTAATACTCTTTAAAAAATTTTTCCGATCCCTTATCGATTATTTTCAATTTTGATTTTGGGCTCATTCGAAAGCCCTTGAAATATGCTACAAGATAGCAATAGTCTTATTTCTCAGAAAAATTCCATAGAGAGTCACAAGACGATAAACTTTCTAAGTGTCATTAGAGGGCATTTTATGGGGCATTTAGACGATTTTTGCTGCATCGGAAGATTAACGGCCCGTATCTTTCTAATCGAATTTTCTATAAAATATCGTTAATGCTATCTTGTAGCAAATTTCAAGGGCTTTCGAATGAGCCCAAAATCAAAACTGAAAATAATCGATAAGGGCTCGAAAAAATTTTTTAAATTTGAAAAACCCTGTTTTACGTTGATTTTCGGGGTCTCAGGATCTCGGCTCCGGGTAAAGATATGGGTCTAGTTCTTTTTTATTTTTCAATAATATCATTATGTATGTTTACTGGAATTTTTGTAGATTTTTCCCATTGTTGGAACTAACTTTTCTGGAAAGTGGACTTATAATTTTGTGGAGGCCGAAAATGCAAATTTTGGTCTAAAAATTTTTTAAATAAAAAATCAGCCAAAAATCTATTCACATCTCGTTAGTTATTCACTATAAGGTGTGTTTCTAAATTTTCAGAAAATTTGGATCACTGGAAGTCAAAAAATCCCGAAAAAAGGGGTGGACTTATAATTATGTGGAGCAGTGTATTATCTAAAATTCTTAGCTATTAAAGTTCGAAGGAATATAACTGCTTACCGTATTTTCTCGATTAATCTCCCCCCCCCCCCTCCCCTCGAATAATTCCCCTCTCTAGATTAATTCCTTATGCCAGAGATGGGTTGAAAAGACAATTCAGACAATTCCCCACCTTCAAAACAATAAAATTGGTGGGTAAACACTAGAGTCCGGCAAAATCGCATTCCCGGGATCCCGGAACGGGATTTTTTTTCAAAATTTTGTACGGGACGGGATCCCGCGGGATTAATCCCGTAATCCCGGTAATCCCGTTCTCAAATTTCCCGGGATCCCGCCGGGATTCCGGGATTTTCACAAAAAAATTTTTAAATTAAAAATAACTTGAATATTGGCGGATTTTGGGTCAATATCGGTTGATTTCGATGGATTAAGGGAGGAATGAATAGATATAAGAGTATGAATAGGGATATCAGTGGATTAAGAGGGATTAAAAGGATTTGTATGCTTATAGGTGGATTGAGGGTGATATCGGTATATTTGGAGTGGTAAAGGGTGATTTGAAGAACGGTGGGTTAGGTCGAATATAGCGGATTTAAGGCTCAACTGGATTTGAATGGATATATGGGGATTATTCCTCTAATCCCTCAATATACTCTTAATCAACAGATCCTCGATATACCTCTTAATCCATAAATCCCTGATACCTCCTATTATCCTCCAAATCCCTCTTTATCTGGTGTTAATCCCAAATTCATGATATCCTTTTCCGATACCCCAACATCATATATCTCTTAATCCTCCGGAATTGAACTTAAGACGATTTAAATTACAAACCAACGTATACCTCACAATCCCTCTATATCTCTGTTAATCTCAAAGATCCATTCTTATTACTCGTAATCCATCCACCACAAACAAAACTTTTCGAATTTTTCTTTTTTTGGAAGGCTAAGAAGCCAGCTTTTTTCATTTTTTAGCGCCGCAGGCGAAAATTTTGAGAATTTTTGAAGAGCAAGTCACCAAATTTCTTCCTTTTTCAGCGCCGCAGGCGAAAATTTTGAGAATTTTGGACGGCCAAGAAGCCAGATTTCTTCCTTTTTCAGCTCCGCAAACAGTTTACTGGAGTAATTATAAATCCCGTAAATTTGAAAAAAATTCCCGGGATCCCGGAACGGGATTGGGTTTTCAAAATTCGACCGGGACGGGATCCCGCGGGATTAATCCCGTAAATCCCGGAATCCCGTTTTCCGCGAAAAACCCGGGATTCCGGGACGGGATCCCGTAAAATCCCGTACGGGGTCCCGTCCCGTGCCGGTCTCTAGTAAACACAACGTCAAGCTCAACGGGTCGAAATGAGAAATCTTATTATCATCTGAACCGTCGAGGGAATTCAAGAGTTCAATTGTTTAAATATTTATAAAAATAGTGTATAAATTACCCCCAAGCAAGTTTATATGGTTCAGTGCTGCACTATAGACCTAATACTCCCTGGGGTATGTCCATGCTTTATACTCGGATTAGGAATTATTTTCTTAACTAACTTTATAATAGTTAAAAGAATCCATTGACTTATTCACCTGTAAAGGAGAACATTTACTAGCTAATGTTGTAAATGAAACCACATCAGAAAAGAAGATCGTTGCTGCACTAAATTGTTCTGGTTCAACAAATTCCCCCAATTTTAATTTTTCAGCCACTTGTTTTGGAAGCATTCTATATAAAAGAATATCACTTTTTCTTTTTTCTTCAACTAATTCTCTAGTTCTTTCTTCAACTTCTTGTTCTAAAGAACTTGCATATTGCTCTAACATTCCAAAAACATAATCCATTAAATTTTGATTTCCATCTCTAACCATTTGCTTTAACATTGAACGAACTTGATCAATCCTTGGACGTTCTGTTGGAACTTCACCCCAACAATCACGAATTAAAAGTAACTGTTATGTTTAATTAATTAAATAATTATATGTATAATACCAAATTATTATTGACTTCTTCTCGAGGATGTAATTGTGGTCTATGTGGAACAGCAACATTTGTTCGCTTCAGCCGATAAAAAATTTCTTTAAAATTTAAGATTTATTACTGAAAAACATTTGCGTATTTTCTATTAATGAGCTGAGTTTGTAATTAAGAGGATTTATGGATAAAGAGTGATATCTGTGATTTTAGTGTGGTTAGAAGTATATCAGATGAAATTAAAGGCTAAATTGTAGTAACTGTGTTCTGTGCAATAAAGGGTGATGTGTGATTTTTGTGTTTATGAAGTATAACAGAAGATTAGGGAGCTAACGGGTAATTTCTGGGATCTGGAGGCTGATGTTTGATAGCTGGAATTTAAGGCAAAATTTTTGGGGATTTCCATCAGTGGGTGGGGAGAGAGCCCATCAACGGTTGTAATGCTAAAAATTATAGTCCGGCAATGGGTGTGCGATGCATGTTAGAACATTGAAAGTTGTTATCGTTTAAACTAAAAAGTTATGATTCCAAATTTTCGATTAGAAACTCTTTCAAAAAGGAAATTAAGGAAAAACGAATTATTTCAGCGTGTTTACTTTACTGTCAAATTTAATACAAACCATCAACATCATCTTCTCTTTCAACTCCATTCCAAACAGTTTCTCTATTAACTAATTCACAACAAATTATAGCAAAACTATAAACATCCCCTTCTTTTGTTCCTTTTCGATTATTTTCTCTTAATAATTCTGGTGCTGTCCACAATAATTCTTAAAAATAGGATATAAAGGATCTGATTAGGGCATTTTAATCACTAATGGGAGTGAACTAGAAGTGGATTTGGATGCCAATGAATTAACATTTTAATAAAATGGGTGTAAATCAGGAATGGGACGGGTTACCCGGTGCCCGGACATTTTTTCGACCCGATACCTAATCGAAAAATTTTCCAGAAACCGACTCGAAACCCGGCCCGACTTTTCCTCTTTCAGCCATTTATATTTATTTCCTTTTAAATCAAAAATTATCTTTTACTTCTTTTTGACATTGGTTGACTTTCTCTAATCATATTCAATCCAAAATCGCTAATCTTTACTTGCCAACGATCATTAATTAAACAATTCTCCGAGGAAAGCATTCCATGTGCTCCAACAAATGACCCGTGTAAAGCTATTAATCCACTAGCTATATCCCTCATTAAAGTAAACATCACAAAAGAATCACCGACATATTGCTCTTTGGCAATTAAATCCTTTAAACTCCCTCTCTGACAATATTTCCAAATTCCATACAAAATAGGTGCATCTGTACAAACCCCACAAAATTTATTTAAATTATCATGATCTAATTGTTTTATCTTTTAAATATTTAAATTTAGTTTTTATTTAAATCTCTATTAAATATTTACACCTTTCTTAATTGTGTTAAATCTTCATTAAATATTCTAACTCTAACTTGATATTTAATTCCAAATACAACTTCTCTATTATACAAAAAATGCGAATAATTTTCTGTTTCCAATTTTTTATTGTCCATACTTGATAATTTTGTACTCCCTCCTTTAAATTAAATTTCTATTTAATTTTAATTATTAAAATCACCAGATTGACTGCTTTGCAAACTTTTCATGCTTTTATTTAATTCCAAACTTTTAACATCTTCTGTACTTTGCATTTCTTTTAAATTGCCTAATTCACAGAATGGAATTATACATTCACGTGTTAGCCTGTCTTTTTCACGCATTTTTTCACTTAAAAATTAATTTTTTGGCAATAATATTAAAATTGTTTTTTAATTAGTTATAATATTAGGGCTTTTTAATTTTTCTATAAATTTCAGTATAATTTTATATTGATGTATAGAAAACAGAATTAATTCCAAAAATAGTAAAAAAAAATTGAATTGGATGATTCTGAAAGTCCCTCGATATAGTAAGTTATCTTTACACACAACCATCCCTTCATGTCGGATGAGTTGCATTTCTGCTTTAGGTACAAAGAGAGGAATCTTAGTTATGCTACGCTTACATAAAAATCGCGCGCGACACGCGACAGTCGCTAGGCGACATGTCGCCGGCGACAATCGCTAGTTGTGTGCTTACATAAAATCGGCGATTTCCGCAAAAGCGACTGTCGCAAAGCGACAAAACGCTATTTTTATGTAAGCACAAAGCAGCGACGTCGCTAGGCGACATGTCGCCTAGCGACGTCGCAAATCGCGCGCGATTTTTATGTAAGCACAAAATTTCGTGGCCGCACAAAATACCGAATTCTCAAAATCGCGAATAGGCTAAAAAAGCTCAAAATCGCGAATCGGTAAAAATATCTCAAAATATGGAATCGGCCAAAAAAGCTCAAAATATGGAATCTTAAAATATCGAATCTCAAAATCGCGAATCGGCCAAAAAAGCTCAAAATACCGAATCGGCTAAAAAGTAGTTAAAAATGTCGAATTTTTTAAAAACGAAAAGGGCCGTTTGAGTGCCGCTGCAGGTCTTTTTCTGATTATTCAGGGATCTGTAACTCAGTCCAATCAGGTCGGATTTCATTGATTTTGGTATCATTCGATGCAGCTCGACGTGCTCTTTCAGATGAGCTATCATTCGGAAACTCGAAATTCGGTTCGGGATTCGAAATTCGGTTCGGGTCCGGGATTCGACTTTTTCAAAATCCGAGCTGAGATTCGTAATCAGCACATTTTTTTACCTTAGAAAAATACTTTCTCTTATTTTTAAAATTTTTTTACGAAGAAGTTGGTCACAACTTTGTTCAGACTCAACTGGCCTTTGCCGCATTGTCGATATCTTTCGATATTTTGAGCTTTTTTTGCCTATTCCATATTTTGAGATTCGATATTTTGAGATTCCATATTTTGAGCTTTTTTAGCCGATTCGCGATTTTGAGATTCCATATTTTAAGAATTCGGTATTTTGTATGGGAGCCCAAAATTTATTAGTTTTTCTATCTTTTTCTTCTATATTTTCTTTATTTATTTATCTCTATTTTTCACGTTGGTGGAAGTCAGAGTACTGTAATGTATAGGACAATTCGTTGCCACTATTTTATTGTGGCTTTTATATTGTGGGTTTTTTAATTTTTCCATTGATATTAGAGTTCGGAACGGGTGCGGACCAGAGATGGACGAAAATTTTCCGTTTCGTATTTCATTAAAAATATATTTTCGTTCCGTTTTCGTTTCGTAAACTCAATTTTTAGACGAAAATGACGAAAAAATATTCGATATTTTTAGACAAATTTTGTCGTATTTTTAAGGCAAAAATTGAAAATTTTTCTCCTAGGAACTGGAAATTCAAAAAATTTTGCCTGCGGCGCTGAAAAATGAAGAGAGCTTACTGTTTGATCATTAAAAATTCTCAAAATTTTCGCCTGCGGCGCTGAGAAATGGATAAAAGGATAGGCTTTAGTGATTGTATTTTAGGATATAGATCTTATCAATAGACTGGTCCCCCTTTTATATAGCTCGGTTCAGTCCCATTGGTTCAATGAGATCATGAAAGATCAAAGGGAAATCGGGGCTTTGGAGGTCCGGACCCGTTTCCGGGTCCTTTTTCCGTTTTTAAGGGTTTTCATGGTTTCCCGGACCCGGTCACCGGGAAACCGTACTTTGATATTAAATTTTTGAAGGAAAAGGGAAAGGAATATTTATAATTTCCACTATTTTCTTTAATTGGGCGATGGTTGAGTGGTTATGTTGACTGACTTTACTCATCTAGTTATCTTGACAGGGATGGGGTTCGAATCCATGTAGGAAGTGGGACTGAGAAAATTTTCTTCTCAAAAATAAATATCGTTAAACTTTAAACCCTCTTAATCCCTTAAATGCCTTGATTTTCCCCGAAATTTTTTGTCCATAACTTTATGGGACGAGCCCTACTCATCGAGAAATGATCACTTTTTCATGTTTTTGGTATCATTTGATAGAGAATTAAAAGCTCTACAACATATAAAAAATCAAAATTATTGACCGATTGATAAAAAGTTATGATAAAAATACTCGATAGCATACTGAAAATCTCAAAAATATCGAAAAAAAGAATATTTTTTGCAAAAAGTATACCTTTTTCAAAATCAATTTTGACCCATAAGATTTAACTTTAAAAATATAAAATTTATATTGATCGATAGAGAATAAACTGAACTTTCAGAATCTTTTTAAATTTCGAAAATCGGATCAGAATTGATCGAGAAATAGCATGTCGCAAAAAAGTGTCGCCAAAAATTCAAACATGTTTGAATCAAAAAAAGTGTCGCCGGCGACATGTCGCCGGCGGAAATCGCATTTTATGTAAGCACACGAAAAAGCGACAAAATCGCGCGCGACATGTCGCCGGCGACAGTCGCGGTTTATGTAAGCACTCGAAAAAGCGACAAAGTCGCGCGCGACAAGTCGCCGGCGGAAGTCGCTTTTTATGTAAGCACGCAAAAAAAGCGACAAAATCGCCGGCGACTTTTCTCTCCTCTTTTTCCATTATCTTTTCTGTCGCGTGTCGCGCGCGATTTTTATGTAAGCGTAGCATTAGTCTTACACAGGAATTTTTTGTGAGTGAGTGGTCTTAGAAATATTTCTGAAGCTTCTTTATTAAGAACCTTATTTCTTAGTTTTTAAAAGATAATTTTTTTAGTTCCAAAAAAGCTAACCGAACAGCATAACCAATTCCACCTAAAGTAGCTACTAACAATAACAAAACCAAACCAACACCAATTAATATATATGTTGTTATATTTTGTGGACATTCTGTCCCAGTATATCCACATATTGGTTTATATAAAGGTCTTTTACCTCCTCTATTTGCCCAAATAACGGATTCGTCGTTGTAATTTTTAGTTATTTGCTTTAATTTTAAAATAAATTTAATTAAAATTAATATTACTAATGTATTATTTGTAAAAGAAAGTTGCATTAAACTATTTGGTTGATCAGAAATATCCAACATTGTAACAACAAATATCGGTTCCCTTTCTCCATTATCATCTAAAATAACATCTCCTGTTTCCCCTTAAATTTTAATTTCATTTTATTTTTTTCCAATATTACTTAAACCTTTAAAACTTCCTTTACTCATATTATTAATTAAAGTTCCATTTCTTGCCAAATCTTTTGTTAAATAACCAAATTGTTCAGCTGATCTGTTTAATGCTCGTAAATAAGCATATGATGTATCATGTAAACTTCGAGAATACGAAGACGGCTTTAATAATTATTTTAATTATTCATAGAGATTTACAGAATATTTGGATACTCCTCAGCTAAATTTTAATTATTCAACAGGGGTCGAAGCAAAAAATATTTTAAATTTTATGAAATTATTTAACTCTGCCTTACTTTCTGGTATTCGATAGCGGTATTTCGGTATATTTCCGATACAGAAATATTATTTTTTCAAAATATGACGAGTACATTATCGTTATCAGCATTCTATTTAAAACGTTTAGACTTAGGCTTTAATATCTACATTATAAGAAAGTAAACAGTAAATAAAGCGCCTAACAATAATTGAAGGGATGTTGCAGTTCGATTCCTGCCGTGGAAACCTTTGCCAATATTTTTATAAGCAAACTAAACAATTTGATCATTAGGTCCACCCATGCATTCATTTATACAGTTAAAGGGCGGCTTCCCAAATTCAGATGTCATTTGTGCCATAAAAGCATCAATTTGAGAATTGGATTCATTTTCTAAATCAATCTATTTAATAAAAAAATTTAAATTTTCATTTGAAACCCAAAAAATTATTTTAATTACAATAATTGTCCTTCTTGCAGCCTTCAAAGCATCTCCATCACGTCCATCATCAACTCCATTCGTTGTCATCCAAAAATTATTATATTTTGATACATTTGTGCCAGTACTTACTTAAATTTAAACGAAAAAATTTTTTAAATTAAATTAAAATTTAATTTCTACTTTGTTGTAACATTCCAAGATTTCTTAATTGTGCAAAAATAAACACAAATTCATTACTCTGAGCTATTCCAGTATCAGTTATTGCTAACAAAAAATCACGTCTTGTTGTAATATTATCTATATTGGCTACTACGACTGTAAAAAATAAAAAATAAAAATTATTTTTAATATTTTAAAAACTTCTTGAACGATTCCCCAATTGTAAAAGTGTGCTTCTCATATTTTCAGGTGTTGCTAACATTTGTTGATTATATACAATTGTTAAATTTGGATTTGAATTTACTATACTTTCAAAATCTTGCGGGAAGTAATATCCAACTCTAAAAAATTTTATTTTTTTAGATTAGAATAAAAAAATAAAAATATTTGATAGCCTTAACTACTCGCCTTCGAACATTGTCAGGAATATAAACGAGAGATACTTCAGACCATTGAAATTGCATAAGAACAGATTCGACTGCTTGAGCGAGGCTATAAATTTATTTAAAAATAATTTGTAAATAATTAATTGTATTCACATTTTTGTGTCAGAATTTACATTAGTGCATGTTGGATAAACAGAATCATTTGCAAGAGTTGTAGCTACAGTGGCACCCCACAAGAAAACAGGGATATTATAGAAGCCTGGAGCCAAACTTGAATCAATTGCCGCTTAATTTTAAATAATAAATAAATTTATTCCTCACAATAGTTGAAAATAATACTTAGAGGTAGTTAAGGTTAATTTTATGTTGAATAAAATAGATGTTAACATAGAATTAAAATAATTAACGTGATTATTCTACCTGTAACACAAGGAGGCCCAATAATAACATCAACATCTTGGTCAAGAATTAATTTATTAGAATATCCAACAGCAAGTACTTGATCACAATCACAAATTAACCAAGTAAATCTACAAAAACATTAAAGATATATTTTGGATAAATTAAATATTCTTTACGTAAAATTAACAAAATCAATTAAATGTTCATTTCTAGCCCTTTGTATAGCAATGGAAATTGCTGGAACACTTTGTCCAAAACCATAAGCAGATCTTAATTCACTAGAATTTGCCCCCAATATTCCAACTTTAAGCACAAGTTGTGTTGATGTTGTTGAAGATAAAGTTGATTGTTTTGGTTGGGATGTTGTTGTTGTTGTTTTGGGTGTTGTTTGTGTTGTTGATATTATTGTTGTTGTTTCGGATGAATTGTTTTGACAAACATAAATATTTAAATTTATTAATAAAATAAATGAAATAAAGAAATATAGCATGATTATTTTATTAAGATTATTTTATTCAAGGAGGTTTATTTAAAAAGAATAAAATAAAAGGAAGTAAATTCATTTTTATTTTTAAAAATTTATAGTTAACTTTAGAAAATGACATTTAAAATAAAGAAGCCTTAAAATTAAAAATTAAATTTTGTTTTGTTACTATATTTAAATATAATTATTTTGTTTTTTAAAAAATTTCTAAAGGATTCAATTTTTAATTCGGCAAATACGCCAACGCTGAACTTTTGTTATGAAAATGCACTTAAAATAACAAAAGAATTGACGTTTACTTTATGATTAAATATTAAATCATAAAAAATAAATTTTACGATAAATTTATTTTAAATATTCTTATTGGCTAATTTTATAAATGGAAGCCAGAAAATTCGTATAAATAAATAATATGTATTAAGATAATAATATATTGATACAGTATATATTTTTAAACTAATATTCATGATGTTTTATTTTCATGTTTATTCCTCGCTTGGTTGGAGTAATAACTAGAGTAAGTCGAGTACCGAGTAATTGGGAAAAAACCGAGCTCGAGTAATCCGAGTTTGAAAAACCCGAGTTCGAACTCGAACTCAACTTTTTAGGCCAATTCGAGTTCGAGTAGTCGAGTAATCGAGTAATTTTTATAAAACAGTATTTTAAAATAATTTCAATAAAAACAATACTTTTACTAAAAACTATTCATAATCAGTGCCGTGTTTTGGGCATTTGTTGGCAGTAATGCGTTAGATCTTCATCCAAATCCCAGTTTTTTTCGTTAATCCGTCTATATCCCTCTTAATCCGCAGAAATTCCATGATATGCACACAATCCATGTTATACATCAATGGATAATATTATTTCGTGGATTTGTGTAGATTAAGGGGATATCGAGTGATAAGAGGAATGAGATGGAGATCAAGGGATTAAGCGGGATTTGAACCGATTATAGCGAGATTTGGGTTATTAGGAGCAAAATCTTGGAAATTCGGGAGATTAATTGGGATATCGGATTAGGTATATTGTCGAAAAGTGATCATGAGATCCGTTGCTCTATCCCTCTCTTTTCGCGCCATTGGCTTAAATTTTGAGAATTTCTCAAGGTTAAGTAGGGACACCAATTTTCAGAAGGCCAGATCCCTTGAAATATCCGGATATTACTAAAACCCACTTAGCTTGATTGAATCTTCCGATATACACAAATCTTCCTTTTTCAGCGCCGCAGCCGAAAATTTCGAGAATTTTGGAAGGCCAGAGAGCAAAATTTCTTTTTTTTTAGCGCCGCAGGCGAAAATTTTGAGAAATTTGGAAGACCAACACACTAGATTTCTTCTTTTTTTTAGCGCCGCAGGCAAAAATTTTGAGAATTTCAGAAGATCCTTAAGCTAAGATTCTTCCCTTTTGCGCCACAGATGGGGCATAAAAATACTCGGTTTTAACCGAGTACGTCGAGTAGGAAGTTTCCGAGCTCGAGTAATCCGAGTATTATGATCCCGAGTTCCGAGTCGAGTAATTACGCAAAAAAACCAAGCGGTCGAGTCGAGTAACTCGAACTCGACTTACTCTAGTAATAACCATGGTGGACTAGAGAAAATCCAATTATGGTACCATACAACACTTTATAGGTCTATGCAACACGATTATTAATTTAGTAAATAAATTTTTATAAAGTGTTTATAATTTAGTTATAAGTAATATGAAGATTTTCTCAAATGGTTGATTATTCTTTGATGATTATTTTATTACTTAGATGATTATTTTCTAACCTGCAAGTATTAATTGTCTTTCTCAAATTCAATTAATATTTTCCAAAAATGATTACTTAGTTGAAGAGCTTTTCTAGCCTTTGTTTAAATATAATGGAGATGCTAATCGTTTCCTTTGTACGAGTTCCTTTAAATGGATATTGATATGTAATCATTTATTATATCGAGAACGACTTTTATTATTGCTTACAATTTCCTTTAAATCATACCGTTTCTCTAAAACTGTAAATAACTATTCTACCATTATCAGTTTAGGTGGGTGTATTTTTCTATCAGATTATCAAAATAATGACATTTCATGAAGGATTAATTAAAAGCCATTTTCTCCATCATCCAGGAAGAAAATATTTTCTATAAACCTTTTCACATATTCATATACCATATTTTAATTAAAAATATTTAAATTTCTAAACAAATAATTTAAAGGAATACTTACAATTCCCTTAAATTTTTATAAAAATTTTAAATAAATATTTATTTGCTCTATTTTTAATTGTCGTAAAATTATAAAATTAAGATTCCACAGTTAGTTTTGAATTTTCAAAGGTGTTTGTTTAGTTTTTGGATTAAATTTTAAGAAGAAACCCTTGAAGAAAATTAAAATTTATAAAAATATAAAAATTTTAAAATATTTGAGTATCCATTTTTTTAAATGTCATTTTTTGAACAGAAGAATGGAATTAACATCCTCTGAAGAATTTATAAAGGTCTTCCGCCTTAATTCAACATTTTCCCATTTTTTAAATTCATTAGAAATTTTTTTAACGAAAATAGTTACAAATAAATTTCAAATTTATGATAACTTTTCTTATTTTTCTCCTTCTTTTTTTAAAATTTAACTTGGATGGTGTTTTATGTCAAAATATTTCAAATAACTCCGCACTAACAACTAACGGTATTTCAACTACAACGACAATTATAGCACCAACAACAACAACACAACCACCTTCACAGATATCTTCTTCGTCTTTGCCACAACTTCAAATAAAAATTGGTCTGTTAGGAGCAAATTCTAGTCAGTATAGACCTGCTTATGGTTTTGGACAAAGTGTTCCAGCAATTTCTATTGCTATACAAAGAGCTAGAAATGAACATTTAATTGATTTTGTTAATTTTACGTAAAGAATATTTATTTTATTAAAATATATCTTTAATGTTTTTGTAGATTTACTTGGTTAATGTGTGATTGTGATCAAGTACTTGCTGTTGGATATTCTAATAAATTAATTCTTGACCAAGATGTTGATGTTATTATTGGGCCTCCTTGTGTTACATGTATATATTCTTTTAGAAATGACCTAAAATTAATTAAATTTTCCATAAATTTTTGGGTTAACTTTTAAGAATCACTTTATATTTACTTTTTCTTACAATACATAGAATCTGTCTGATATTACTTCGACTCGCTGAATTTTAGATTATTATGTGATTATTTAAATAATTATTCAACCCTTAAAAATCTAACTCTTATAACTAAAAATAATAAAATATTCATTTTAAATATTTAGCGGCCCTGGACGCGGCATTGCCTCCAAGTTTTTATAGTTTGCCTATTTTCCTTTGGGGTGCAACAATTGCAACTATATTAAACGATAATAACATATATCCAACTGTAACAAATCTTAATTCAAATACTTTATGGTAATTGAAAAAATAATATAATTTATTTTTTAATTAATTATCATTAAATTAAAAGTCCTTATCAGTTTAATTTTTCTTAAATTTTAAGTCTAGCACAGGCGATTGAAGCAGTATTGTTACAATTTCAATGGTATGAGGTGTCTCTAGTCTACATTCCAGATGATATTCGAAGGTAAGTAAACGATAATATTAGTTAATTGAAGACTTAAATCTTAAACTATTTAAATATTTATAACTTTTTTTTCCAATTTTCGAAGATTTTTGTTTCAAAACTTCTCTGATTCCATACAAATTATTTAAATATAAAACAAAAATTAACTCTTTTAGAGTTGGTTATTTTTTCCCACAAGATTTTCAAAATGTTGTTAATGCAAATCCAAATTTAACGATTGTATATAATCAACAAATGGCTGCAACAACTGCAAGCATGCACAATGCTCTTACTCAAATAAAAAATCGTTCAAGAAGTAAAATAAAAATATTCGAGATAATTTTTCTTTTTTTTAACAGTTGTAATAGCCAATATAGATAATATTGCAACAAGAAGAGATTTTTTGTTGGCAATAACTGATACTGGAATATCTCAAAGTAATGAATATGTATTTATATTTGCACAATTAAGAAGTCTTGGAATGTTACAACAAAGTAAAAATCTTGTTTTGGTTAAAACTTTGTGTGAGTGTAGATTAAGTGGGCACAAATCCGAAAAACTACCTTTTTTATTGTAAATAAATTAATCTGCAATTTGTATTTTTGTATATCTCATATGTATGTACAGATAATCTAGTGGGGTAATTCCATTACGGGAGGTCGCAGGATTTATTTATGCCCGGGTCAAACATTTAAGTACCTCAATCATACTTTAGAAAATGTACAGTTTTTAAATATTAAAAGTAACCTCCAACTCAAATACATCAAAGTTTGATGATTTTTGGAAAGTAACAACCGGAGTTGATGATGGACGTGATGGAGATGCTTTGAAAGCAGCAAGAAGGACAATTATTGTAAAGAAAATAATTAAAATGAATAAAATTAATTTGATTTTAAAGGTTGACTTAGAAAATCAGTCAAACTCTCAAATTGATATTTTCAATGCTAAAGTAGTTGGTGAATTTGGAAAGCCTCCCTTTAATTGTGTAAATGAATGTATGGGTGGACCTAATGACCAAATTGTTTTTAAAAAATATTTTTTAATTAAAAAAATAATTTAAGCCAGCTTCGTATGCTCGAAGTTTACATGACACAACATATGCTTATTTAAGGGCATTAAATAAAACAACAGAAAAGTTTGGTTATCTAACAAAAGATTTGGCAAGAAATGGAACTTTAATTAATAATATGAGTAAAGGGGAATTTCAAGGTAAAGAACGAGTTTAGAGCTTTTGGTGTTGAAACTTCAGCTTTTAACCCTTATGTTTAAGCGCCGCAATTTCAAAACATTACCCCACTTATGGCAAACATTCTGAAACCGTAAAAATGTCAAGAACTAAATAAAACAAGAAAAGGTTTGAGTCACATTTATCATCAATGCCAAGAGTTCTACGACTGTCTGACAGCTTTTGCCTCAACTATCTAAACTAACAAAAATGATAATTAATGGCGCTTATCTAAAAAATATAGATAATAGAAATTAATAGGTTCGGGGTTGTCGAGTTGAGATTTAAATGCCAACATTGTGATGCAACATTAATTAACACAATTATATTAGGAGAAACCGGTCTGATTATTTTTGATGATAATGGGAATCGGCAACCAAATTTCTTTTTAACAATGTTAGATGCCTCTGATCAAGCAAATGTTGTAATGAATATTACAGTTATTGGGGGAGTTGCAGTTAGTAAAATAAATAAAAACAAACTAAAATAATAATTTGTAGACTTTGATAAAAAGATATACGAATGAGACTGGATTGTGGGCAAATAGAGGAGGTAAAAGACCTTTATATAAACCAATATGTGGATATACTGGGACAGAATGTCCACAAAATATAACAACATATATATTAATTGGTGTTGGTTTGGTTTTGTTATTGTTAGTAGCTACTTTAGGTGGAATTGGTTATGCTGTTCGGTTAGTAGTTAAATATTTTTTTGGAATTTAAAAAAAATTATTTTTTAAAGAGAAAAATTAAAAGAAAAGGAACGTTTAACTAGAAAATGTTTAATACCTTTTGGAGAATTAAAAAATATAAAAGAATTAAAAAGTAATGAAGATATGAGAAGTTTAGAAGCAAATAAAAGTTTAAAAAGTTTACAAAGTAGCCAATCTGGCAGTACAAAATTAACAAGTATGGATGATAAAAAATTGGAAACAGAAAATTATGCACATTTTTTATATAATAGAGAAGTTGCTTTTGCTATTAAATATCAAGTTAGAGTTAGAATATTATCGGATGATTTTATACTTCTTAGAAAGGTAATATTGTAATTAATGATTTTTATTTTAGAGCTTTTGATTTTAAAATTCCAATTAAAATGAGTAAACCTAGTTGACATCAGATAAGCTTTTCGAATCATAGCCAACGATGGGGAGGGGGAGAGACGAGACCGAAGGCCCGAAGTGACCCAAAATGGAAGAACGACCTCTAAAAGTAGAGGCGCGACGCCCATTTAAAAGGAAGGGACCGAATTGACGCTCATCTAAAAGGATGAGTTTTAGATGATCTAAAAGGATTAATAATATATAGATCTAAAAGGATTCTAATTTTAAAAAAGACTTCAAATGATACGTAAATCTCCAAAAAAATAAACCTAGCACAGTTTTAAAGCCGCAGACATTCCTGCGCGTTAATGGACGCGCCTCCAATTACAAACAACGCTTCCCCGACGTAACTAAATTTTAAAGCTATAAAACCCATTCAGCTATTTATCCATGAGCTGGTTATTAAGGGACACGCCCAAAACGGCGCGCGGTCATAACGGCGCAAAGCCATAACTTGCTTCAAGATTTCCTAATCTTACCAAATTTAGTTTAAACGATTCCTCTCATCGAGCTAAGGTAAAATAAATACAGATAAATACGAATACTTACTTGAACTTGTCTCAACTCTCATGGAAAAATATACTCCCTTACGCACAATAACCGTAAAACAAAAATCGTTTAATTATCCTTCACATATTAGGAAACTCATCAAATATAAGAAAAAACTATTTACAGAGTTTAAAAAATCAGATTGTGGCCTAGAAGAATATATTAATGTTTCCAAAACAATTAAACATCTTGTTAACTCTTACAAATCACAAAGAATTAAATCAATAGTAAGTAACCGTAAAAACATGACCAAATATATGAAAAACCTGACTCAGAAATATTCTCCTATATCATGTTTAGAGCATAACAATACTTTTATTTTCGATGATCAGGCCAAATGTAATTTATTTTCTTCTGTTTTTGCAAATTCTTTTTCTAATCTCCCTAGATTTGATCCTCCTAAATTAAGCCCATGTAACTTCATAAATGCCCTTGAAGATATCGAATTTAGTCTATTAGATATCGATAATATATTAAAGAATTTACCTAACAATAACTGCTGTTCTGAGGATGGTATAAGCTATACCTTGCTAAAAAATTGCCATTCGTCTATTACACCTTTCCTATCTGATATTTTTAGATTGTCATTGGATTCAGGAATTCTACCTCATTCTTGGAAAGTCTCACATATCACACCTGTTTTTAAGAAAGGGGATAAAACTATTGCAGCAAACTATAGACCCATTTCTATTACATCGGCTATATGTAGAGTGCTAGAACGTATCATACTTAACAGTTTACTGACCCATTTAGAAGAAAACAAAATTATTAGTGAAAGCCAATTTGGATTCTTAAAAAAGCGTTCTACAACTACCCAACTAATATTTACATTCTCTCACTGGTATAGAGCTATACTTGAAAATAAAAATGTAGACTGCGTATATATTGATCTTAAGCATGCCTTCGACTCTGTCCCCGTCAAATTCTTGATTTATAAATTATTTAACATAGGAGTTAGGGGGAAATTACTTAACTGGATCTCATCATTTCTAACAGATCGTACAGCCAAAGTAAAAATTAACACAACATTTTCTACATCTTTTAAAATATATTCTGGCGTTCCCCAAGGATCTATCTTAGGACCCATTTTATTCTTAATATATATAAATGATTTAACCTTCTATATTCCCAATAATGTTAGTAAATGTTTATTTGCTGATGATCTTAAGATTTTTCAAGTATTTAAAAATTCAGAAAATACTAATTCACTACAAAATGCCTTAAATATAATTTCTCAATGGAGTTCCGATTGGGCACTCGAAATATCTACGCAAAAAACATTTGTTCTAAATATTGGCTCCAAAAATCCTAAATATACATATACACTCAATGGTGACATTTTACAAATAACATCTGTAATAAAAGACCTTGGCATTACCCTTACCAATGACCTTTCCTTCGATTTACACTATAATATTATTATCAGGAAAGCCTATGCCAGAGCTTCTTCAGTTCTTAATAGCATACACACTAGCAATCCTAAGGTATGGGCTCTTGCCTTTAAATCCTACGTTAGGCCATTACTAGAATATGCCACAGTTATCTGGAGTCCAAAAACTAAGTATCTCGTGGAAAAAATCGAAAAAATCCAAAAATGGTATACTAGGATCGCTTTATCTAAGTGTAAGATTACCTATAAAAGTTACTCTCAAAGATTAATTCTCTTCGATCTCGAATCATTAGCATTAAGACGCTCATTATATGATCTATCAACTATTTATAGGATTATCTTTAAATTTACACATTTAAGCTTTAACGATTTATTTGAGCTCAACGATAGACCTAGTCGAAATAGACACAAGTTTCAAATTAAGGTCCACCGAAAAAACAGTAAAACCGAACATTGGCTCATAAACAGAGCTGTAAACCTTTGGAATACAATACCTGCTTCAATTATAAACTCACCAAACCCAAAGATTTTTTGGATTGCGCTCAGGTCATATTTAATAAATTTGGAGAGCTCAAACACTTGTTTTGTATACTACTAGCTAAAAATCCATAAAACCTTACTAATTTTGACTGTTTGTGTTGGCATACCATAACTGTTCATTTGACGTTTATATTTTGACATTTTCCTTTTAGAAATATATATTTTGTATTTTACATTTTGACATTTCCCTTTTAAAAATATATATTTTGTATTTTACATTTTGACCTTTTCATAATTTAGTAATATCTCCACTTGTTTTTTCCCTCCCTCATTTTTTGCATTCACTGCATTAATGTATAAGTTTTTTTAATACTTTATAAGCATTTTTAAAACACATTGAGAAACAATTGGATTTATTATTTTTTTCTAATATTTATATAACTCAAATTTTAAGATTTGCAATTTAAAGCACCTGTGCATTTCAATTTTTCTTAAAAATGTCTACAACAAACAAGCGTCCACATTCTCCCAGATTAAACAACTTGGGTAATCAACTCATATAAACTTCCTTACAGTCTGTGGACACTCTTTGTTTTATACACTATTGTGACTTGTATTTTTTTACTTTTTGTTTTATTTTTATCATTTTTATATGCTTTGTTTTACAATTGTTTCACAATTTTTATCTGAATGTTAGTGACCTTCTTATAAGGTCCTTTTCAGTGAATAAATAAATTAAAATGGCGCTTATCTAAAAAATATAGATAATAGAAATTAATAGGTTCGGGGTTGTCGAGTTGAGATTTAAATGCCAACATTGTGATGCAACATTAATTAACACAATTATATTAGGAGAAACCGGTCTGATTATTTTTGATGATAATGGGAATCGGCAACCAAATTTCTTTTTAACAATGTTAGATGCCTCTGATCAAGCAAATGTTGTAATGAATATTACAGTTATTGGGGGAGTTGCAGTTAGTAAAATAAATAAAAACAAACTAAAATAATAATTTGTAGACTTTGATAAAAAGATATACGAATGAGACTGGATTGTGGGCAAATAGAGGAGGTAAAAGACCTTTATATAAACCAATATGTGGATATACTGGGACAGAATGTCCACAAAATATAACAACATATATATTAATTGGTGTTGGTTTGGTTTTGTTATTGTTAGTAGCTACTTTAGGTGGAATTGGTTATGCTGTTCGGTTAGTAGTTAAATATTTTTTTGGAATTTAAAAAAAATTATTTTTTAAAGAGAAAAATTAAAAGAAAAGGAACGTTTAACTAGAAAATGTTTAATACCTTTTGGAGAATTAAAAAATATAAAAGAATTAAAAAGTAATGAAGATATGAGAAGTTTAGAAGCAAATAAAAGTTTAAAAAGTTTACAAAGTAGCCAATCTGGCAGTACAAAATTAACAAGTATGGATGATAAAAAATTGGAAACAGAAAATTATGCACATTTTTTATATAATAGAGAAGTTGCTTTTGCTATTAAATATCAAGTTAGAGTTAGAATATTATCGGATGATTTTATACTTCTTAGAAAGGTAATATTGTAATTAATGATTTTTATTTTAGAGCTTTTGATTTTAAAATTCCAATTAAAATGAGTAAACCTAGTTGACATCAGATAAGCTTTTCGAATCATAGCCAACGATGGGGAGGGGGAGAGACGAGACCGAAGGCCCGAAGTGACCCAAAATGGAAGAACGACCTCTAAAAGTAGAGGCGCGACGCCCATTTAAAAGGAAGGGACCGAATTGACGCTCATCTAAAAGGATGAGTTTTAGATGATCTAAAAGGATTAATAATATATAGATCTAAAAGGATTCTAATTTTAAAAAAGACTTCAAATGATACGTAAATCTCCAAAAAAATAAACCTAGCACAGTTTTAAAGCCGCAGACATTCCTGCGCGTTAATGGACGCGCCTCCAATTACAAACAACGCTTCCCCGACGTAACTAAATTTTAAAGCTATAAAACCCATTCAGCTATTTATCCATGAGCTGGTTATTAAGGGACACGCCCAAAACGGCGCGCGGTCATAACGGCGCAAAGCCATAACTTGCTTCAAGATTTCCTAATCTTACCAAATTTAGTTTAAACGATTCCTCTCATCGAGCTAAGGAGATTGGTACTAAAATTGATAAGGGCCAGACATTTTGCACCAAGTTATGGCTTTGCGCCGTTATGGCCGCGCGCCGTTTTGGGATGTACCCGGTTATTAAGTATGAAATAAAGGTTAACTAAATAACGAATTTTTTAGCTTCGCCAATTAGACCATGATAATTTGAATAAATTCTGTGGACTGTGCACAGATGCACCAATTCTTTATGCAATTTGGAAGCATTGTCAGAGAGGCAGTCTAAAGGTAGGTTATACCTAAATTCTAATATACGCTCTCCTAGGAAAATACCTATGTATATCTCAATCTTTAATCAGATATTACTTGATTGAATTATTTGGCGTTGAAAGCCACTTAAGCAGGGATGTGCGTCATGGCGTTTTGGCGTGACGTTTTGGCGTTTTGGCGTGATTTTTGGCCGATTTTGGCGTGCTGGCGTTTGGCGTGATTTTCAGTTTTTGGCGCGCCAAAACGCCAAAATTATACACCCCTAAAGATGGAAATTTTTAAAATAAATGGAGGAGTTGTGTTCAAAAAATAAAAATTTCTTGCTAGAGCCTTCCAAAGTTTTAAAAATTTTCGCCTGCGGCACATATTAAAAAGGAAAGCAAACTGCATTATCAGCCTTCCAAAAATCTCGAATTTTTCGCCCGCGGCGCTAATAGAAAGATGCTTTGATCTAATTACCATTATCATGCTTTGGTACGGATCTGGAACCAAGAAAGTTTAGGGTCGGTATTAGCTAATGTCCTCCTTAATCCTTTCTACATCTCTTAATTGGAGGTCAAAGAGGATAGCAGGACATCTAAACCCTTCGATATCCTACAATTCTGGTCCTGTGATTTACAAAAGTAGGATTTCTGATTCTTGGTCTCAATAAATTTCCATAATTTTTGGTATAGCCGCTAAAAAAGGATGAATTCTGGCTTCTGGGAATCATGGAAATTCAAAAATTTTCGCCTGCGGCGCTAAAAAGAAATGAACACTGGTTTTTTGGGTCCTGAAAGACTAAAATTTTTGGCGTTTTGGCGTTTGGCGTTTTGGCGTCGTTTTTGGCCGATTTTGGCGTTCTGGCGTTTGGCGTGATTTGAAAATTTGAAAAATTGGCGTTTGGCGTTTGGCGCGCCACGCGAAAATTTTGGCGCACATCCCTGCACTTAAGGAATGTATAGAAACCCTAAATTATACTATATGTCTGACATACTTTTGTTAAGTAGTGGATAACTTTTGCGACTTTTTTGAGTTAATATAATACTTGTAAAATATACTCTGTAATATTCTGTATGAGAAATAACCGAAATTTTAATGATCGAAAGCTTAGACGTTCATAATTTAGCTTAAAATAAAATATATGAGAAATACTAAAATAATTCAACTTTGATATTAATGTGAATTAAAAAGGATTTAATCGCCAAAGAGCAATATGTCGGTGATTCTTTTGTAATGTTTACTTTAATGAGGGATATAGCTAGTGGATTAATAGCTTTACACGGGTCATTTATTGGAGCACATGGAATGCTTTCTTCAGAGAATTGTTTAATTAATGATCGTTGGCAAGTAAAGATTAGCGATTTTGGATTGAATATGATTAGAGAAAGCCAAACTATTACAAAAAGAAGTAATATATGCTTTTGCTCTTTTAATCTAAAAAATAAGACAAGGTAGCCAAAGAGGGTAGACCTGACTGAGCTAATTGCCTGGTCATCTTTTGTTCCATGGCTGTGCTATCCTTTTGTCTATCAATTCCATCTTCAATTTCACTCAACCCGTTTATCTTAATTTATCAATCGAGTTGTGGGCATCTACGAATGGTCGAACTCGTCAAAATAATGAGTAAAAGAAGGTTGTAGAAGACCCTAAAATAAAAGTTTTCTCGCTAGTCCTAATAAATATAATAATAATTTGATAAGTCCAGAAAGTCTGATACTTTATCGAGTATGTAACCAATAGCGTAAAAATTTCCGATCCTTTATTGGTCGAGCATCGTACAATGAATTAAAATTCCTTTAAAAATTGATATAAATTTTTTAAGAATTATTGTGGACAGCACCAGAATTATTAAGAGAAAATAATCGAAAAGGAACAAAAGAAGGAGATGTTTATAGTTTTGCTATAATTTGTTGTGAATTAGTTAATAGAGAAACTGTTTGGAATGGAGTTGAAAGAGAAGATGATGTTGATGGTTTGTAGGAAATAAATACAAATTAGTTGATCTTTTTTTAAGAAATTATTTATCGCCTAAGACGAACAAATACAGCAATTCCACACAGACCTCAGTTGCATCCAAGGGAAGAAATCAATCAAAATCTCGTAAAAATTAAAGATAAACTCCAAATAAATAATTTTACAGATCCATTTAATACGAGACTGTTGGAGTGAAATTCCAACAGAACGTCCAAGAATTGATCAAGTCAGAACAATGTTAAAGCAAATGGTTAGGGATGGGAGTCAAAATTTAATGGATTATGTTTTTGGAATGTTAGAGCAATATGCAAGTTCTTTAGAACAAGAAGTTGAAGAAAGAACAAGAGAATTAGTTGAAGAAAAAAGAAAAAGTGATATTCTTTTATATAGAATGCTTCCAAAACAAGTTGCCGATAAATTAAAATTGGGGGAATTTGTTGAACCAGAACAATTTAGTGCAGCAACAATATTCTTTTCTGATGTTGTCTCATTTACAACATTAGCTAGTAAATGTTCTCCTTTACAAGTAATTAAAATACTATTCGAAATAAATAAATTATGAATTAAAAAGGTTGTAAATCTGTTGAATGGTTTATACACAGCATTTGATGGGATTATTGACAGTCATGATGTTTATAAAGTTGAAACAATTGGAGATGGTTATTTAGTTTGTTCTGGAATTCCTCGGAAAAATGGGAATGACCATGCTAAAGAAATTTCTGAACTTGCATTTGCTTTCCTACGTACCGTCTCAACATTTAGAGTTGACCATTTGCCAAATGAACGTGTTAATTTACGTATTGGAATACATACTGGTTAATAAATTAATTGTTAATTTCCTTAAAAAATATTTAAGGACCAGCAGTAGCTGGAGTTGTTGGATTGACAATGCCTCGTTATTGTTTATTTGGAGACACTGTAAATACAGCTAGTAGAATGGAATCTAACGGAAGACGTAAAAAAATAAATTTAATTTTCATAAATTATTCTTTCTCAACAGCTGGACGTATCCATATATCAACCACAACTAATCATTATTTAACTAACATAATTGGAGGATATGTAACAGAACCTAGAGGAGAAGTAATTATTAAAGGAAAAGGAGTTATGGAAACATTTTGGCTACTTGGACATGCTGGGGATTCGAATATAGCATTTGGAGGAAGTGATGTATCTGAAAGAGCAAGCCCTGATCTTTCATGAACATATTAATCGAATATACATTTTGTAATTTTCAATCATTTTACATTTGTATTTGACATTCTTGGGCCTATTTCAATTGTCTGCAGATTTTGTGCCACAGATTCTGTGCACAAACCTCATTTCTGTTTCAATTATTTCACAGATTCTTCGGGAAAAGGCGACCGCAAATTCTGCAGAAGCATCCCCAGAATCTGGAGAACATACACAGATTCTGCAAAACATCCAGAAACACGCACAGAAAAAATCCACAGATCTGGCTTTTTCCACAGTTTCTGAGCATTTCTGTTTTAATTAGTTTTTTATTCTGCGAAAAATACACAGATTATTTGAAATTTCCACCCTACTATTTTTTCTGCTAACCGACGGTGGTAAAACTTTAGAATTTTTTTTCGAACTAAGCACAGATATTCGCCCGCAGAATCTGCGGGAGCTTTTACTGAATTTGAGGGCACCGCAGAATCTGAGCACCCGAATTTTATTGAAACAGAATTTCCAGAGAATCTGCGTTCTCTGCACAGAACCCAGAATCTGCGAACATTTGAAATATCCTATTTGTATCATACTTCCTCGTTTAATTTCCTCTCTAGCGAGATATTGAAGCAATTTTTGGGTTTGATAAAATTATAGTCGATGTTGACATGTATCTTTGTCTGTTGACGACTAAATTTGCAGCCGACGTCAGTTGTGTTCAACGGTTGACGTCGTCGAGACCATTCCTATCACCACTTTGCAAGTTGACGCAGATTGATGAAGATGTTGAAGAAGTCACTAGAATGTTGACGACGACATTGACTTCGTGGAAAAAATTTAGAAATTTTTTCTAGGACTAAGCACAGAAATTTCGCCTGCAATATCTGGGGAGCTTTTGTAACACCAAATATTTGATATGATCTACTAAATCCTCTTAACTCGAAGTAATCCGTTCCGCCTTGTATAAGTATCATCCTTTATTCCTCTAAATCCAGCACTATTCCATAGATCCTTCGATATCTGTCTAACTTCGCCGTACCAAATGTTCAAATAGTTCAAAGCAGTGAAGGAGAAAATACCTGAAGAAGAGAAATATGTAACTATAGCCCAGCTCTGATTTGATCTTCTCTCTACATATTCCATCAGTGGGGGCGCATTAGCCAAATAAAATTATCGCATAACAAATTAAAATAATGAGGTAATTAATAATCATAAAGATGGTAGACAAATATATAGATACATACATATACAAAAAAATTAAACAGGTTCTGGAGTGTCACGATCAGCATTGGCAGCAGCAATACCTGATAAGAAATGAGAATCCCCAGCATGTCCAAGTAGCCAAAATGTTTCCATAACTCCTTTTCCTTTAATAATTACTTCTCCTCTAGGTTCTGTTACATATCCTCCAATTATGTTAGTTAAATAATGATTAGTTGTGGTTGATATATGGATACGTCCAGCTGTTGAGAGGGAAAAGAATAATTTATAAAAATTAAATTTATTTTTTACGTCTTCCATTAGATTCCATTCTACTAGCTGTATTTACAGTGTCTCCAAATAAACAATAACGAGGCATTGTCAATCCAACAACTCCAGCTACTGCTGGTCCTTAAATATTTTTTAAGGAAATTAACAATTCATTTATTAACCAGTATGTATTCCAATACGTAAATTAACACGTTCATTTGGCAAATGGTCAACTCTAAATGTTGAGACGGTACGTAGGAAAGCAAATGCAAGTTCAGAAATTTCTTTAGCATGGTCATTCCCATTTTTCCGAGGAATTCCAGAACAAACTAAATAACCATCTCCAATTGTTTCAACTTTATAAACATCATGACTGTCAATTATCCCATCAAATGCTGTGTATAAACCATTCAACAGATTTACTACCTAAATGTTTCGATATAAGCTATAAATTATTAATTTATTTTATTTATAGCCCTTCTACTAAATTATTTATATATTATCGTAATACTTTTATTAACTACCTTGGGTAATTATTGTTTCGACCTTCCGTTATAGGGAGTAATTAATCAAGGGATGGCAATTATATGAGGTCTGAAATTTAAACGTGAGTAGTTAACCACCCCACTTTATTTCCCTTTTTTCCCACAAAATTTCCAGAGCAATTGAAAGGTTTGGGAAGGGGGCGGGTCTTTAGTAGTTAACCATACCACTTTTTCGTGGGAGAATTAATGACCTTTTTTGGCGCAACCAATAGGTATAGGGGGGTTTCCCTTTTGATCCTAAAGGTTTAGGGGGTTTCCTTTTGATCTCCCAAGGGTTTTGGAGGGGTCTAATTAAAATTAATTACAATATACCAACTTCGCGCAAATTTTTTCAAGAGACAACCAAAAGGTTTAGGGGGTTTCTTTTTAATATCCTGAGGGTATTGAAGTGGTTTAATTAAGATTAATTACAGTGTCGGGAACGCCCGAGACACGAGACTCGGGCGTTCCCGGGTAAAAATAAAATTTTTATTTTATTTTTTATTCTTTTGTCAGTCGGTGTGAAAAAAGTGAATCACCGACCAATCAATTCACATTCCTTTTTATTTTTGTGTAAAAATTTTTCTTTTTATAAAAAAATGTTTTTTCTTTCAATAAAAGATTTTTTATTTAGCCTTCTTTGGCCTACAATCTTTTCCCCTCATCTTTTAACAACAACATTCCCACAATAAATTTGTAATGTAAATAACTTATTTTTAAAAGAAGATATAATCATTTACCCCCACTATTTAAAGAAGCACACTCCTCCCAACAACACTTCACTCTTTCCTCATCCCACTTGGGACAGCAACACACCACAACAGGCGCTCCTTGCCGGAACCGTTCCCTAGCCTTCTTTGGCCGAGAGAGCGGTAACGGCAAGGAGTGCCCCGACAACAATGATTGGCTATCCCTCTCCTGTGGCGACCCAAGAACTTAATAAATTTATTAATTTCGCGATTTTATTCATTTTTCACATTTTTCGTTCACACATTTTTTGTTCACACATTTCTTTGTTTAATTCGGGTTTAATTACCCAAGTTTAAGGTGCTATAATAAAATATTATATTAAAACTTTTGTCTTCGTTTTATTAATTGTCAGCAACCCAAATATTTAATTTGACGTTTCTGATATCTGGAGCCCCGACAACGAACGATTTCGTAAAAATTCACAACAAAAACAACAAAGCAACAAATTCAAAAGAAAGTGGGGGACAAAATCAAATTGTTAGCAAGAACAATAAAAGTAAGTTAACTAAAACAAAAGCCAAAGCTCTATTGAGCCAGGATAAATTTATTAAAAAATTTTTTAATAAAAAATTTATAAAATAAAATTAAAATAAATAATAAAAATGTCTTCAATAACATCAAACAAAAGAAAGTTAAAAAATATCATCGAGATCACTAAAGAATTAATAGCAACAGAGGTCAAAGGACCAACAGAAGAAGAAGACATTCACGTACTTGAAGGTCAGATAAGGAAGATAAAAGCAATAAAAGAAGAATTGGAAAGCAACACAAGAAAAATTGAGATCATTCAAGATGAATGGGAAGCAAACATTCAAAAATTGAAGACAAGTGAAAGAATCGAAGCCGAAAATGAACTAACAAATTTTATCAATGAAAATCAGATAGAAAGTATTTACAAAACAGCAAAAACAAAAATAAGAAATTGGAACTCAATTGAGACAGACTACTTAGTCATGAGGTCTCAAAAGGAACCGACACCACAAAACGAACAAAATACAACAATGAATGAATCTAGAGGAAATACCCACGGCCTCAAACCACCGTTACTAAAATTAGTAACATTAGAAGGACCAAATTGGTCAGACTTTTGGCCTATATGGAAACTATTAATTCATGAAGATGATAGTATTCCAAGGTTACAAAAAATATGTCAACTCTTCGCGCATGTAAGAGGAGAAGCAGCAGCCGTACTCAAAGGTATAGAACCACTAGAAGAAAATTATGAAGTCGCAATCGAAATTCTTAAAGAAGAATTTGAGAAAGAAGAAACACAAATAAGAAAATTAAACAAAGAATTACTAGGATTAAAGACCAGTCAAAATTTTAACGACGACATAAAATTGTTACGCGACTTACAAAGAATAAATCGATTAATGAAGACACACAAACAAACAATAAATATTCCAGCAATATCTCTAATGATAGAGCAAAAATTAAGCAAAGCCGTCTTAAGGCAAATGCTAAGTAAGAAGAGACAATCAAACGAATGGAATACAGAAATCTTAATAAAAAATTTGGCAGAAATCATAAAAGAAGAGCAAGCAGTAAACGAAGTATACAAAGAATCACATCAAGAAATTAACGAAGATAAAAGACAAAAAACACCATATAAATTTGGGAAAACCACAATGCAATACACAACAAAAGAACAAAGAAAGGAAGAACCAAAGAAAAAAGAAGTAAAAATACAAAACCAAATTCAACCAAAGCAAGAAGAAAGAAGTAAACCAAAGTGGCCATGTCCATTTTGTAACCTTAATCATTGGTCAACGGATTGTAGAAAAATCCCAACAGCAGAAGAAAGATACAAACTAGCAAGAGAAAAGAAGCTATGTATCAACTGTTTAAGACCAGGACATCAGAGCAAAGAATGCTCAACCAAAAACAAAATATGTTGGTTTTGTAAGAAGCAAGGACACCATCAAGCAATTTGTTTAAAACAATTTGGAAAGAAAGAAGAAAGAAAGCAAATAAACAATAATATCGAAGAAGAAATTCAATTACAATCGGTACGAACAAATAAAGAAGAAAGTAACCAAACTAGTATATTACTGACAACAACAATTACGGTATTTAATCCAGAAATACCGTACAAACAGGAAAAGGTACTCTGTTTTTTTGACAGTGGTAGTGATCAGAGTTACATTAGTAAGAACCTAGCAGAAAAACTTAACCTCAAACTAGAGAAGTATAACAAAGTTAAATTAACAGGATTTGCAGGAGCCAACCTTGGCACCTACACACTTGCAAAAACAAAATTAGGAATACAAACAAAAAGAGGAAAAAGAATTTATCAAATGTCAGCTACGGACCAACCGTTAGCAAAAATGACAATAGTGAAGATAGAAGGAAAGTATAGAGAGCTTTATCAAGGAGAATTAAAAGTACCAAACCACAACACAAGCCCTGAAATATTAATAGGGAATGATAATTACAATGATTTTTACATAAAATCAGAAAGAAGACTGCCAAATGGATTTTGGATTAACGAATCAACGGTAGGAAAAATATTAAGTGGACAAGGAAATTTAAAAATTAATAATCGAAATCTGTTAGACACACAAAATCACCATACAAAATTAAAAAGCTCCCTTGAGCAAAATAATGAAGAAAAAGAGGAAGACAAAAATAAAATTGAAATCGAAACTGAAGAAGAAAAATTAACAGAAAAAGTGGAAAGATTATTAAGCAAAGAGATGATAGGTATGGAAGACGCAAGTGAAATATCGGATGAACAAAAATGGATGGTTCAATTCGAAAATGATATAAAAACACCTGAAGAAACAGGAGACAGATATGAAGTATCACTACCTTGGAACGAAAATGCAAGTAATTTACAATCAAACTTTGCATTAGCAAGAGGAAGATTAATATCAACACTCAAACGGTTGAGAAAGGATAAAAAATTACTAGAAGAATACGACAAAATTATTAAACAACAAATAGCATTGGAGATAATAGAAGAAGTAAAAGATCCAACAAAGAAAGTAGAACATGTACACTACATACCACACCAGCCTGTAGTAAAGAAAGACTCAGGCAAAGTAAGAATCGTTTACGATGCAAGTGCTAAATGTAAAGCATCAGACCAATCATTAAATGACTGCTTAGAAAAAGGACCAACATTATTAAAAGATTTAACAGGGATACTCATCAGGACAAGATTGAAGGAACATTTAATAACAGGAGACATAGAAAAAGCCTTCCTACAAATAAGTATAAGAGAAAAAGACAGGGACGCGCTACGCTTTCTTTGGCCAGCCGACCCTGCTAATGAAGAAAGTAAAATAAAAACATATAGATTTAAAAGAGTTCCATTTGGAATAATTAGTAGTCCAGCACATTTAGGGATCGTAGTTCAACATCATTTAAAGAAAAACACAGATATAATTGAAGAAGACATTCTCAAGAATATTTATGTAGACAATATAATTGTTGGCACAGACGAATTGGACGAATTAGAAAAAATATATCACCAATTGAAAGAAGTGTTTTACAAGGCAAAAATGAATATTCGAGAATTTATTTCAAGTGACAAAGAAATAATAAATAAAATACCAGAAGAAGATAAAGGTAATAATGAAAGAACAAAGTTACTAGGTATCGAATGGATACCAGAAAAAGATATATACATAATTAAATTGAAAAAATGGGAAGAAACAGCACTAACGACAAAAAGAACAATATTAGCACATTATGCATCAACATTCGACCCTCTTGGGTTACTAAGTCCAGTGCTACTACCATACAAATTATTATTACATAAAATTTGGGAAGAAAAATCAGATTGGGATCAACCAATATCGAAAAAGTTAAAAGAAGAATGGATAAAAATAACAAAAATGCAAGAAGGAGAGCCATTAGAAATACCAAGAAGAATTTCAAGATACAAAATTAATAAAGAAGGAAATTCATTACAGATATTTGCAGACGCATCGAAAGAAGCTATGGGAATAGCAGCATATTTAAGATGTAAATCGAAAGAAGAAATAGTAACTAAACTATTATTCGCAAAAAGCTTAATAGTCCCAAAGAGCGTCCCAAATAAACATAAGACAATCCCAAAGCTAGAACTCCAAGCACTAAAAATCGCAACAAAAATAGCAAAATACTTAGAAAAAGAAATTGATTTAGAGTTAGAAGAAGTCCAACTTTGGACAGATGCAATAGACGTGATAGAATGGCTCAAATCAGAGAAAAGGCTAGAAACATTCATTGAAAATAGAGCAAAAATAATTAGAAATTACAACGTGAAACATATAAAAGGTGAAGAAAACCCGGCAGACATTGCTACAAGAGGAACTTCGATGAATGAAATACAAAATACAAACTGGCTTGAAGGCCCAAGTTGGCTCAAAAAGGAGAAAGAAGAATGGCCAGAAACAAAAACATATTACAATACGAAAGAACATGAAAGAAAAATCAAACCAACAGAAATAACATTAATGACAATAATAGAAGAAAAAATTGAAGAAATAGACACAACAAGAAGCTCATCATGGATAAAAACAAAAAGAGTGCTAGCTTTAGCATTAAGGTGGAAAAACAAAACGACAAAAAATAAAAATAAAGAAATCAGACCAATAGAAGCAAAAGAGTTAGAAAGGAGTGAAAAAATACTAATAAAAAATATACAAAAAGTATATCCACCAAATGAAGAGGAAAGAAAGAATCTAAATATATATGAGGATAATGAAGAAATATTAAGATGTAAAGGAAGACTAGGAGCAGAAACAGCGCATGAAAAAGCAAATCAACCAATATTTTTACCAAAGAAGGCAAGAATAACAGCAATGATTATTAAACAAGCACACATAGACATGAAACATTCAGGTACAAACATAGTTCTTGCAAAATTAAGAGAAAAATATTGGATACCACAAGCAAGAAGAACAATCAGAGCTACAATATTCAATAAAAAGAATGAATTATACTGCATCACATGTTCAAAGAAGAACACAAAAGCATATCAACTACCCAATCCACCTGACTTACCTACTTATAGAATAGAAGATAAATTCGAAAAACCATTTAGTTCAATTGGGTTGGACAACTTTGGACCATTCATAGTTAAATATAAAAATCAACAGTCAAAAATATGGGGTTTGATTTTCGTATGCACAAGAATTAGAGCAATACACATTGAAGTTGTGTTCGACTTAACCGCAGATGAATTTTTAGCTGCGTTTACTAGATTTATCTCAAGAAGAGGAGTACCAAAAATAATCGTGTCAGACAACGCAAAAACATTCAAAAAAGCAAATAAAGCCATAAGCCAACTTTGGCAAAGGCCAAAAGAAGCAAACGACACACTTTCTAATAAAGGAATAGAATGGTATTTCAATACGGAAGCAGCACCTTGGCAAGGCGGGTTATTTGAAAGAACAATACAAATGGTAAAAAACCCGTTAAGTAAAACAATTGGAAGAAGAATATTAAAATTAAGTGAAATGATTACATTACTTACAGAAATCGAAAAGTATGTAAACGAAAGACCACTCACATACATCTCAGAAAATGAAATAAATGAAGTAATAACACCATGGAAAATTTTAGTACCGTACCCAGACAATGAACCAATTTTGAAAATAAATGAAGAAGAAGAAGAATATATTCCAAAAGGAGACACAAGAGCAGAATTAATAAAAAGATACACACAGAACAGAAGTCTAGCTATACATTATTGGGATTTATGGAAGAAAGAATACTTACCATCGTTATTAGAAAGACAAAGAAGAAAACTAGAAAACAATCAACCCCCTAAAGTGGGAGAGCTCACTTTGATAGAGCAAAGTGAGGGAAAAAGAAACCAGTGGAAGTTAGGAAAAATCGAGAAGCTATACACAGGGGCCGACAACAAAATTCGCAGCGCCTTAGTAAAAGTTCAAGGAAAATTTCTTAGAAGACCAATTAATAAACTTTACAATTTAGAAATAAATGAAATAAATAATCAAAATATTAACTCAAAAACAATAGGGATATATACTAATGATAAACTAAATCATATTTATAGTATCTATTCAAAATTTCAGGCAATGGAAGACGTTTCTCTTGCGGGCAGCGACGACGAGCAATGGGTGGGCGACGAAGAGTTCCGAGGGGACCAAGCCTCCTTTGGCAAGGACCCCGAGGACCCATCATCATGGCAGGATATGGCCGAGTACCAGGATGCGAACCTCGAAAACGGCACGCTTGAATCGGATGAGTGGGGGTTATTCACGATCTGCAACCCCGGACAACCAGGGCACAGAAGATGCGAGGCCCTGCTGACAACAAACTTCCAGCATATGGAAGAGGAAAGAGAAAGCGTTATTCCATCAATTTTCCATTTAATCTTGGTTCTATGGGCAACGGTGCACGGCAAGGTTGAAGAGAAGATAAAGTTGTGGGTTAGAAGATTTTGCGAGACACCACCTTCGGAGGAACTGTTGCGGATGGCCCGGCAGGCAAGGCAGGAGATGGGAGGACAAATCAAGATCGGGTGGAAAAAATCGGATATCCCTGCCAGCCACGAGAAATGGAGGAAGAGAACGAAGGGAATAGGACAGAAAGACCTCGTATGGTGGACTCTAACGGAATTGCAAGAAGCGCTGAAGGTCTGGCGAATCTACTGCAAAGGAGCCGCAAGTCCCATAGAAAGGAACAACTACGTCGCAATCAGACCAGAGTCGGTACGAGAACGTATCGAAGACGAAGGGCTAGATGAATTAGTTCAAATGATGGAGGGAAGTGTTATGAAGCTAGCCAATCGGATGAAGGCAAAATTTTTCATTGGAGATGCGCATATGGTAGAGGCGAAGAAGGTTCATATCACCGAGGAATACTGTGCTGAAATTGGACGTAATCTGGGAGCCTACACGCTCATTCCGAAGAGCGCGGAACATCTAACAACCCTCTTCTATTCGCCGATAACCGATTGGGTCATCATCTCGTTAGGGACGTCACATATTCTGAGAGAAACACCTTGGGAGGTATTCAGCCGCGACACCACTCCATTCATTAACATTCTGAGCCTCCTTTGGCGCAATGTTATTTGGATACTCCCACCAACAAAGGTCACGTCTGTCCGAAAGGAGTATGAGAAAGGATTCAAGAAGTTAATGAAGGATGCCCGCGAAACAGAGTCAACGTTCCGGATGATCATCGCACCAAACAACCAAGACTGGATCAACTGCCACGGCTTCCTAACAGAAAGCGGAGCAACCGCGGTGACACGACTAGTAGAGGAAATGATGTCCAACAATTGGCAGCCTCCCGTGGACGACGCACCAGGCACTTCCGACAGACCGACCTTAGAAAGCAGGTTGCAAAACATCTTTCATATTCAAACAACTGCAGCAGGGACCTCTTCCGAAGTCCCTCCAAGCCCTCTTGGGCCGGAGGCGACAGAAGAATATCCCCAATATTATGGAAATCTCATCACCAACTATTGGATGACTCGGGATGAGAATGGTTTTTCCGCCGACTTAGATCTCGTCGCAACTGATTGGTTGCTCAGTGAAGAAAAAAGAGAAGAGAAGAAGAAGTTGGCTAGAAAAATAGAACGAATTATATCTGAACGATGGGGAAGAGCGAGAGTTCACATGTACGGAAGTTCAGCCGCAGAATTAGATTTGAAGGATAGTGACCTGGATATCACAGTGCTGCCCGAGAGAGCAAGGCATGGCGAAGTGACAACGGAGATAAAAAGAAGAGAACTGGCATCAATTCAACGACACTTGTGGGCTTCATGCCGGCAGGAGGCTTGGTTCGATCATTGTTTCCGAATCTTTTCCCGCAACGTACAAATCATTCGCATCAAAACAGAAGAGCTAGAAATCGATGTTTCATACGCGGGCACCAAAGTAATAGAAAGCGCCAAATGGCAGAAGGAAAACATCAAGGGGCAGCGTTTGGGGACATTAAGCACCATCCTGAAAATCTGGTCCAAAGGGAAAGGTCTGAATGACTCCACTCATCATTTCTTGAATAGCTACGCATGGAACATTATGTTGGCTCACTTCCACAGCAGGACCCATCATTTGAAAAAAGATACGGCTTGGAAACTCCTCGCCTTTTTCGACTACTTTGCTAGCTTCCCCTACCAGGGGATGGTCATCACAGCAGAAGGAATGGAGCGAAGAACGCCAGAAGATGGGACCCAACCAATTTTTGTGCGAGACCCAACAGACAACAACAACAACGTAGCTAGAAATGTAACAAGCGAGACGTTAAGAAAAACTACGACCACCATGGGCAGACAACGGGACAGGTTCATCTGGCCTGCCGCGCGTCCTTCTTTGGACCTGCTAGGACTTGCAAGCCCTCCTGGGCCGCAGAATAGAGGCAAGAAAAGACTTTATTGGACCTTACTCTTACTAATTTTATTAATTTCCAAGTTCAGATGGACCGTCGGGCAGTCGGCAATGATGTGCAATGAGGTGGCCCCCGCAAGAGTGATCGACTTACAACATCGAGGTATGTCTTGTTCAGAGTGGTTACCGGGTACCAAGGTCAAATTAAGACTGCAAGTGTATAGGGTAAATATGGAAGCCAGGGAAGTTACAGCAAGTAGGTGTGTCATTGTAAAACAGAAGGTAGAGTATTGGGAAAACGTAATCGGGGAAGGAAGAAATGTGACCACCAGCGAAACACTCCCGATTTCGAAAGAAGAGTGCCTTAGAATGACCGAGACCGACCACTGCCAATACGGACCACTCACAGCAACTGAAGGAATCAAAAGGACTCTGAACGAGTTCAACCCACCAATCGATTACAGCTATTTCTCCACACAGCATAGTCAGCGAACGAACTGTTTCCAAACCGACGAGAAATTATATTTTGATCCATCCACCGAAACACTTCACTCACCAATCGACAACATGGCCAAGTGCTCACTAGAGGATGAAGAATGCCCAACCGAAGGAGGATCACTAATCGTCTGGAAGAAACCCACAGAGGAAGTAAGATGCAAGTACACATATCTCGCCACTTGGCACGGAGATTATTACCCAACCGAAAAAATTTGGACCAAAGAAGATCTGGCTTTATCGTTCACTTCAGAACCTCAAACAAAAGAAGACTGTGGACACGACTACGTAATGTCAGACCAAGGATACTTAATAAAACAAGAAGTATTCGACAGAATCACAAGAATGCGAAGCAAAAGAGCGACCGTCAAAACCGAGCAACTTGCAAGCCAGCTCACAGCGGCGCAACTCAATAGCATAACCAAATTAAAGACTACAGTCTGTTGGTTGCTGAACACTGGCCTACATAGGCTCCCGTTCACGGCCATGGACGCCACAACAATAGCTCGAAACCTATTCCAACAAGACTTAATCGAAGCACGATGGATAACCAACAGCGGGCGAAACCTCCTGGAGGTAAAGAAGTGCATTCGAATAGAAAAGAAGAACGTGCAATTCCTACCTAACGAAGAGAAGAACTGTTTCAAGTTTCTACCAGTCAACATCAGTATATACGACAACTATTTCCAAGCATACTTAGATCCAGTATCACTAATAATTCGAGAGGAGTCAAAAATGGAAGTTGTAAGAAATACCGAAGACAAACAATGCTTTGGGAAGGAGAACTACTCACAATAGACCAAATTGAAGGACACGTAGTCAATCACCCACAAGCCGAAACAATAACGCTAGACCAACTAAACGGCTCGAGCTTACCAACTTTGGACACGCTCATCTTCAAGAATTTAGAATTAACGAACGACTCCGACCCAACAATCAGGTTGCTAGCTTCATTTCGAACCTTCGCCAGAGGACAACACATGCAAGCAATCATGAGTGACAAAAGTACGACAGAAAATTACGAACCCCAACGGTTCGACTACACCTTCAGCTTAACACAATGGATGTCTTGGGAAACTGCGTTCAAACTTACGTTCGTATACAACATTCTATCCATACTATACATGTACATACTCCCATGGGGAATAAAGAAGATACTACAGCGCACCAATCTGATCGAGGCCACACACAATAATGAAGCAACAAGAAGACATTCGATAATCCGGATACAAGAGGGAAAAGAAGAGCCAACTCTAGAAACAATTTCACCACCCGACACCCTCAGTAGATACGAGCTAAACCGAATCTCAACACGAGTGATGCGGAAGTTAAAGGACAGGGACCAAACTAAGGTCCAATTCCTGAGGGAATAGCTACGACGTGGGGAGTGTCGGGAACGCCCGAGACACGAGACTCGGGCGTTCCCGGGTAAAAATAAAATTTTTATTTTATTTTTTATTCTTTTGTCAGTCGGTGTGAAAAAAGTGAATCACCGACCAATCAATTCACATTCCTTTTTATTTTTGTGTAAAAATTTTTCTTTTTATAAAAAAATGTTTTTTCTTTCAATAAAAGATTTTTTATTTAGCCTTCTTTGGCCTACAATCTTTTCCCCTCATCTTTTAACAACAACATTCCCACAATAAATTTGTAATGTAAATAACTTATTTTTAAAAGAAGATATAATCATTTACCCCCACTATTTAAAGAAGCACACTCCTCCCAACAACACTTCACTCTTTCCTCATCCCACTTGGGACAGCAACACACCACAACAGGCGCTCCTTGCCGGAACCGTTCCCTAGCCTTCTTTGGCCGAGAGAGCGGTAACGGCAAGGAGTGCCCCGACAACAATGATTGGCTATCCCTCTCCTGTGGCGACCCAAGAACTTAATAAATTTATTAATTTCGCGATTTTATTCATTTTTCACATTTTTCGTTCACACATTTTTTGTTCACACATTTCTTTGTTTAATTCGGGTTTAATTACCCAAGTTTAAGGTGCTATAATAAAATATTATATTAAAACTTTTGTCTTCGTTTTATTAATTGTCAGCAACCCAAATATTTAATTTGACGTTTCTGATAACAGTATACCAATTTCGCGCAATGTTTCTCAAGAAGAAAACCAAAGGTTTAGGAGGGGTTTTCTTTTGTTTTAAGGGGTTTCTGATTAAATATCTTTTCATATTTTTGGCGCAATGTTTCTCAAGAAGCAACCCAAATGTTTAGCAGGGGTTTTCAAAAGGGTTTCTGATTAATTATCTTTTATCATAATTTTCTTTTTGTCATTGGTTTTGTGAGGCAACCCAAAGGATTAGAACAAGTTTCAGTTTAATTTTACCCACTGTTTAAAGAAGTTTTTTTTGAGTCTGGATGTTTTTAAGATAATCAACAAAAGTTTTAGAGGTCTGTTGTTATCCGTTTTTCCTCAAAATTTAAGGTTTTTAATTAAGATTGATTAACTTTTAACATATTGGCGCAAGTCTTTCAACAAAACCTTTTCACACGAGATTTTAACGCTCTAACTGATTAATTATTTTTATGTTTTTTGACACAACCCTAAAGCTATAAGATGTTTTATTTTTGAGATTTCAGCAGTTTTTTGGTGTTTTTTTTGACTATGAATTATCTATGAGTTATTTTTTTCACTGAAGAATTTTTGTGGAACCCTAATGTTTAGTTGCATTTTCTTCAGAATTTAAATGTGATTAATTAATGATAATTTTTTGAGCAAACTAGGGTGGTTTCCCTTAGATATCAAGATACTTTTCCTCATAGTTTTTGGTAAATGATTATTTGCTGATAATTTATCAAAAAATCAAACTTCTTTTTCTCATAAAATTTAAATATTCCTTTTCTATTAAACATTTCTTTTCTAATCTTATTTTAACTAAATATAAAATTTTTATTTTAAAAATCTGTCAATCAAATATGCAAATTTAATCTCTATATCTAATCTAAATTCAAAATTTTTCTTTTATTTTTTAAAAACTATCAATCAATCATGCAAATTTAATCTAAATATCTAATCTAAATTCAAATTTTCTCTTTTATTTTTAAATTCTGTCAATCAAATATGCTAATTTTATCTAAATTCAGATCTTTTCCTTTATTTTTAAAATCTATCAATCAATCATGCAAATTTAATCTATTCAAATATTTTCTTTTATCTTTTAAAAATCTATCAATCAAATATGCAAATTTAATCTATATTCAAATATTTTCTTTTATCTTTTAAAAATCTATCAATCAAATATGCAAATTTAATCTAAATATCTAATCTAAATTCAAATCCTTATTTTTTAAAAATCTGTCAATCAAATATGCTAATTTAATTTTAAATCTATTCTAAAAAGGGTTGGCTTTATATTTTAAAATCTGTCAATCAAATATGCTAATTTTATTTTAAATCTAATCTAAAAAGGGTTGGCTTTATTCTTTAAATTTTGTCAATCAAATCTAATATAGTTCAAATAGTGTAGGGGTGGACTTTATTTTCAAAAACCTGTCTATCATATATCTAGTGATCAACCAAGTGATCAAGTAACTATTTGAGTGATCAATCAAAAGATATTTAAAAAATTGATTAAAAATATCATGTATATAATCGAGTGATCAAAGTAAATGTGTGGCCAATCAAATGATCTAATAATCAGCTGAGTGATTACAAACTATCACATGATCAATCAAATAAACGAGTGATCATTGAAATTTAATAAAAATGTGAATGAGTGATCAGATGAGTGATCAAGTGATAAAGTTATTAAAAGTGATCAAACTACAATCAGTTTATTATGTGAGCAATTAATTGATCGAAATCAATCGAGTGATCAATATAGTGAAAAGTGACAGTAAAGAGTGATCAACAGAGGGAGTGATCAGTTCTTTATACCTAGAGATTAAGCGATTGATCAGATCAACCGGAGTTTACTAAAACTATCATTTAAAAATTTTTAATTATTTTTTACTGTTTTCATTTTCAAACCCCCAAAATATGGAAATCGAAACCCCAAAAAGTACACATATCAAATAGGTAAAATCTATTAAAATTTAATTCTCATCTTTTAAATAAAGTGTAGGGGAAGGACTACTAAATTTTTAACTACTGATGAAAAGATTTTGAGGGATTTGTTTGTATATAAATAGGTTTAAAGTTTTTAAAAATGATTTCAAAAT